TTCATGCGGAATAGGTGACGCATTATCTTCCAGATAAGACTATGTCTTCCCATTTCCCATGACTTGATCCTCTGCTTGCACCAGTTCAGCCCCGGACCAAGCACTGTAGCCGGAACTTCCGTCGCAAGCGTGACCTGCGCATCAAACGCAATGCCCTTCCCAAGGCGCATGATAGAGAACCCAGCATTCGCATCTTCCGCAATAAAATCCATAGGATGATACTTCGAAAGCAGCTCAACGAATATATCGCGATCAACGAACCACCCAGCCCCGTGGGGGAAGTTAACACCACATGTACGATCCTCAGCGAGTTTGACAAGACCAGCCATGCGGTACTCACAATCTTGCCATGAGACCATACCTAGGGGGATGTTACCATCTGCATCAGTGCCTGCTAGAGGAAACGCAACGGCGCGGAGATGGTCGTTCATGAGATGAATTGGATGGCGGTAGTTTTCGGGGAGGGAGACGTCGTCGTCTGTTGTTAGGATGTATTTGTAGTTCTTGGCTGCTAGGGAACCGACGAGTTGAGCTGCGTTTTTTGAACCGATGGGGGACCAGATGTAGACGAGGTCAGGATGCAGATTCTTGAGCCAGTGGCGGAAGGAAAGGTCTTGTGGATGGCGAGATCGGCCGTTATCGATGATGAAGATGTCTTGGGGTCTGAAATGGGGGTATGCGGATTCAATCACCTTTCGTAAGGCTTCGCGGTCTGAGTTGTGGCAAGGAATTACAAAGGCGGTTTCCCAGGCCTCCGTGACGGTCGCCACCACGCCTCGCTCTAGATCGCCAGGGCTCTTCTCATCCAAAGTCTCCTGCATAACCGGAGAAGAATGCGTCTTGGGAGGGTTGTATGGTGGAACTCTCGCAATAGATAAGATTATAAGAAACATAAGAGGTTCAAGAGTAAGAACAATAACGAGAACAGGCAGCATATAGCTTCGCGTCTGAGCAATGGCTTTTCCCATCCAACCAGTGAACCAATTCGATATAACAAGCGCAGCAACACAAGAACAGACGAATGCAAGGGCAGCGCCTTTCTTGAGCGTCATGGGGTAGATGTACTCTTTCGGGTGGATGAGTTCCCAGAAAGCCTTGAGTGAGAACTGATTATTCAACGAACGCCAGAATCTTGTCCATGGTGATGGCTTCTTGGTAGATTTAGGGCGAAGAAGATTGCTGGCGGGTCTTTCGTCGGAGAAGCTGCTTAGGGAGGAAGTGGAAGGACTGTAGATGCCTACTTTGCGAGCGCTTCGGTCTGAGGATATGGCTGGTGGTGGGGTGGATATTGGGCTGATGGAGGGGCTTGGTGGGGGAGTTGCGAAAGGGTTATTAAGAGAGTGTGTAGAAGGGCTGACGGGGAAAGTTGAATAAGGCTGATTTGGGTGAAGGTCTGGGACTGAGGGGTCTAGTCTGGCATTGCAGGGGAGAGTTAGATCTTCATATGAAGGATCTTCAATGCTCCTAAAGGGATTGTTGCTTTTGATAGCCATCTAAACAAATGTACTTCTCAAGTGTGATTATAGAAAAGGTAGGTAAGGAGAGGAGAAGACTGAATAGAGAAAAGAATCAACCAGTGGAAAGAGAGTGACAATATCCAAGAGCACGAGAACTTGTAAATTATCCCACAATAAGACTACCTAATAACTAAAAAGAAACCGAAAAAACATCCCCATCGGCGAACTTTTCCAAAAAAAAGAATTACCAACAGCCTTCATCTTTCCAGCAAAATCGTACGACGAGAAAACATCAAGAGCCGCACTTGCGGATGAGCCGAGGGTATCACAGCTGAACCGCAAGCTCTCCAGATCGGTCAGCATTGCCAAAAGCAGCAAATGCAGACTAGATCACGATGGGTTTTCCGGCAAGTTGAATTTTGCCAAAACCCCCCGATCGGTAAAGTGGGCAAAAGATAAAGTTTCAACGTCTGTCTAGGCCTGAAACCACATGGCGAATCCACCTCGCTTATAACCTTAGCCTTGTTCCCCGGGATGCCCGGCCGTTGAAGAGGTAAATTATCCACCTTCCGAAAGTACCGAGGAACGACGGAATCATGGAGAGCGGATTATTAACGGCTTTTTTCTTTTTCTTCTCTTCATCGGGTTTGGCTCGTGGTGAGGATCTGATTAAGAGTACATACGTCATCGTTTGCTTGAACAATATCTGCTCTTTCGTTGGTACATTGAATCCTTCCAAGTTGAAATACCAGTTAAATTGTCTTTAAAAGAGAATAACTAGCGTAATAAAGTCTTGATTTTTGCAGTTTACAATGACGCAGACTAAGTTCTTGATCATGATAATCGTTACGTCCTATTCCCAGACAAGGCATTAACAAAGTGACTAAGTGGATAAGCCCGTCAACATCACGAGATGAACGTGCACGCTGTTAGTGCAAACGGAACGGTACCGCAACGCATCTAGAACATAGGAGTAGAGGCCTCTGACGTCTGTATCACCTGTTTCATCCGTTCTGTTCGAGGCCGCTATCCCAGTTTCGAGTTACGAACTTCGATTTGCGCTGAAGCTACGATACGATGGGGTTCTCAGTCAGGCTGTGGAATCAATGAAAATTTTCTCGTTGTTAGAAGTTTTAGTCGGAGCTGTTGAGGAAATTGTTGCTGTTCGGCGTTGCTGTTCGAGGGTTGTTGTTCGAGATGGAGGTATATGAACCACTCTTGAGCCGCTTGAATTCAGGTTTGAAATAAGGAGCACCACTTGCACCAGGAAAAGTTCTTGCGTTGGCTGTCAGTTCAGTTATACCGTATACCCAATCTGTGTCTCCCTTTCTTCTCCCCGTCTTCATCATGGATTCCCTTGTACTGTCCTCAGGCACTACAACCCCACTCACAAGCACTGCCCAGTCATTGAAGTCATCTTCCCGACCAAGCACTCCTGCAACTGAAAAAGACATCCTCTTCAGTCGTCCCCCCTCTCCCACCCGTACAACCCCAGATGAGTATGTCCTCGTCGTCGGTGGCCTTGGCTACATCGGCAGCCACACAACCTGGGAGCTCCTCAAAGATGGAAGCAATGTAGTTGTCATTGATAACCTCAGCAATGCTTTTGTTCATGTTCTTGATACACTTAATGACATGACGGACCAACGCTTCAACATGAGTCGTCGTCGTCCTGAGCTTCACTTCTACGAGGCGGACTTTCGAGACGATGCTAAGATCCAGGAGATTCTGTCTCGTTACTCCTCCCCTTCTGGGTCACTTATCAAACGAGTTATTCACTTTGCTGCTTACAAGTCTGTCTCGGAAAGTATTGAGCAGCCACTCAAGTACTACGACAACAACGTCGGTGGACTCATCAGATTCTGCAACACTTTATCAAACTTCAACATTAAGAACCTCATCTTCTCATCGTCAGCTACTGTATATGGCTCACTCGCAGATGCTGGTGGTCGGTTGGTCGAAGAGTCTTGTGCTCACGCTACAACGGAGTGGCGCGATGCTAGCGGCAAGGATCAAACAACTCTTCAGGGGTGCACGGGTCTCACGAATCCATACGGACGAACGAAATGGATCTGCGAAGCTATCCTATCTGACTTGGCTGTTGCGGATCCAGAGTGGACCATCACGGCCTTGCGATATTTCAACCCTATTGGTTGTGACGAGTCTGGTCGGTTAGGAGAAGATCCCCGTGTTGCACCAACCAACTTGATGCCCGTCCTCCTCAAAGTCATGCTTGGCGAGATCGACCACCTGCAAGTGTTTGGTACAGACTGGGACACCCGGGACGGAACAGCTATCCGAGACTTTATCCACGTATCTGATCTCGCCAGGGGTCATCTTGCCGCCCTTGCGGTGAAAGAAGGCCAAGGCTTCCAGACTTTCAACATTGGTACTGGGACTGGCCAGACGGTCTACGAGGTTGTTGAAGCTATGAAGACCGCTTCAGGGAAGGACATCCCCATAGTGAAAGTGGGACGCCGTCAAGGTGACGTGGGAGTCTGTGTCGCTGACCCCGGAAGGGCCATGACTCAACTGGGATGGAAGCCCCAGAAGACATTGCTTGACAGTTGCCAGGACCTGTGTAGATTTCTGGAGGCGAATGGGACCAAGATTCAGCCGCAGTAAACAGACTAACGTTAAAAGGATATGGTTTGGGGCAGGGTACTTTTGTTGGGCCTTATAGATCGGGGACTTTTTTGTCTCACATTGTTTTATTCTTTCTTGTATGATTATGTTTCAGCTGGTCTGAGTAAAATAGAGTTCACTAGAGAGGCGGGTTTAGTAAAAATAGAACAGTCAAATCGGCGTTTTGAAACATTTTATCATTTCCAACTGTTTTTATGCAAGGGTTCCAGATCTAACTTCGGCGATTTTGATCACGCCCTCCACTCTCCAGCTGAGTCCGCATACACGAGTACCCTTCTAGGTATAGGTTGTGATCGAGACTCTTGTCGTGGGTCCATGATCTAGATACCCATGGATGGAGATCTGGCGTCTGGACCACTTGTCGGTCCGCCAGCGTCCAGGGATCCCAATAAGGTTTTATCATGCATAAGGACCTTTGCGAAGCTGAGCTCAAGGGTCTCTTCGGTAATCTCCAGCCGCATCTCACCATGTGGAGCTGAGGGCGGGTTCAAGACCCATGAAAGCTGAGTTAGCCTGTGACGCGTATGCGGTTTTGCCAGATCGGTGTCTTTATAGGGGGAGAAAAGGAATCTAGATACCGGTTTACGGGATATAAGGCCGTGCGTGGGCCGGATATCTGGGGAAGTGGCTTCTCTTGGCATCGGCCTGTCCGGCTTGACTGACACTCTATCGTTGACTCGAAACCCCTGAGTAGTATCCAGCAAGCTTTGCAAGGAACATAACCATAAACAACAGGTCTTATCGATTATAGAATATTATTCTTATAAGCGATCAGAAAGTCTGTATTGCTCAATGTGTTATTAAGAGATCTTGGTAGTCAGTTGAAAATCTCAATGGCGAGCTTTTGAGAACGTGGCCGCCTTTGCCAACGACGATAAGTCTCTGTCACGCTGATGGCTATCCTTTGTTCCTGGATCTGTATGAATTCCTGTCAAGCTCTGCCAAAATTTCCGTCTTCACGTCCTGAACTGCCCAAGAAATTTCCACCGCATCCCTCATCATCTGTACAACATCCTCTTCGGACAAGCCACACAACTGTCTTGCAAGCAGCATATTATGCATAATCCACGCGCCCTCCATGAATGGAGGGTCATCGCTAGAAATGCAAATCTTGACACCTACATCAATCAACGTCCGCATACGCCGTCCAATTTCCTCAAGATTGAAGCGCCGCAGATAAGCCCAAGGACAGATTGTCATGCCGATACCTTGGCTCGTGATAAGCTCTAAGGGCTCTGGTTTGTCTGCTGCGTTTAGGCCGTGGTCAATGCGATGTGTGAGAATTCCCTCTGAGGGCGAGATGAGCTGGTGGATGTTCTGATATGTGTCTTCCTGACCGACATCGCAATGCGCTGTGATTTTGAAACCATCCTTCTTAGCCTGCTGGAAGACTTCCTTGAATAGAACAGGAGGCCGTTTGTGTTCGTTTGAATCGAGACCAATACCAATAATCATGTCTCGATATGGAAGCGCTGCTTTATAGTGTTCCATCGCAGAGTCTGGGGATTGATCGCGAAGAAAGCACATGATCCAAGCGGCTTTGACCTAGCATTCAGCACTTTAGACTTGTACATCAAATCCAAGGTATGACTCTTACATTTAGGGTCCTGGCTGCCTCGTTTTGCGCATCACGAAGTCCTCCCATCATATCATCCCAAGAAACACCACGGCTGGTATGTGCCTGCGGGTCAAAAAACACTTCACAATATCGCACATTCATCTCCGAAGCGCCTTGAAAATACGCCATTGCGACGTCATAAAAGTCCTGTCGCTTTCGGAGGACATCGTGGCTAGAATAGTAGGCTTCGAAGAAGGTAGGTGGGATCAGAGACGGATCGAGATGTTCGTATTGGTGTCGCTGGGAAGATGATATGATGGATGCGTAGGCTTTCTTCAGGTCATCCAGAGATTTGATGATGGGCTTGTTCTTTCCCATGCGCACTTCTAATCCATTTATTTGGGCCAGTTTCCATCGAAGCTCTGGTGTGATCATTCCATCGATGTGGATGTGCATTTCGACCTTGGGGATCTGTCGTATGAACTCATCGTTCGTTGCTAGCAGCTCCTCCTTCAGCCTCTGCCGTTCTTGTGACGTAAGGAGTCTATTAGTGATGTCCATCTTCGCTTGAACTTTCTTCTAAGCCCAACCTACAGGTTTAAGGGTCAGAAAGACGCTCACCGAATTGCTCTGTGCATGCTGAGAGGATGAGTCATCGCAGGCAGTGCGAGATTGCGGAGAGCGGCGTCTGCCGCGGATAAGCTTGAACCTCCGATCTAGTCTTGGCCAAGCGATGGGGATTAGCCACGCCTGTCGGACCTATATATATCCTACTTATGATATAGTAAGTCTTTTATTTGGGTTATATTGGTACGCTTCTCAGCTTCATGAATGTAGGTTTCGTCGATAAGATCTCTAATCTTGCGCAGGGCATCAAGAGCGACTGAGTTAAGGTGGTTTTGGTAAACAGTTCCTCAGTAAATCATCATTGACCAAGTTCACTCCATGCCTCTATCTAGCCTTGTTGCTAGCACTACGAATATATGGCTCCAGCGGAAACACCTGTGCATCTGGAGTCACACCCTCATACAGTTCTGCCCACCTCTCACGCAGCGGCTCCGGAGTCTCCCAAGCATTTTCAGGGTCTCTCAACCATAGACGGAGAAGATGGCGCCTTGCATAGTCAGCTCATATTCAGTAATTTGAGGACTAGACTTACTGATGCGTCGGCGAGTCGGTGAATGCATCTCGAGCGTGGAATACGGCAAGGTTGTTGATGAATTGCATATCGCCTTTTGCAAAGTTTGTTGAAACGCTTAGTTGATCCCCCAAGAAGTGAAGTGCATCGAGTGCTTCGGCTTGAGCTTCTGAGATAGGTGGGATGTCGTGACTCCGTGGCAGTGCACCGAATCCAACAAAGTATCGGCGAGCGTACTGCAGGGCAACTCTCTCAGGTAGTGTATCGGTTGCCTTTTGATGATAGAGAAGCGGCCGAGTCGTAAACTTCTTATTCGGGTTTGCGAAGCTGAAAGTGTCAATCAACAGACCATTAAACATCATCAGAGTCTTCTTACTTCTCAACATCCCAAGTCTGCGACAAGGTATGAATCAAATCAGGCCTCGTTCTCGCCAGCTCATTGTAAACCCTCCACGTACTCGCAATCCTACTCGCACCGCCCTCCAGCGCCGTCTCTAGACAGAACAGCGACACAATATCACCCGAATCAGTATGAAAGACCTGTCTGTCAGTAGTATAAGCTGGACTTCCGATCACGCTTTTATCTTGACCAGCGCTGAGATCCTTGACGTGAGTGAGGACAACGTCGGCGGGTTTGCCGTCGAATTTGCTGTCCTGACGACCGCGCTGTGATGCGATGTGTGATGAGATGCCGACGTAGATTATTGCGTTTTCTTCGCGGGTGTAGTTATCTACGTTGACGCCGCGGATGACGAAGAAGCCGTGGCCTTTGTGTAGCTCATCGGATAACTTGCGGAGTTCTGAGTGTAGCTTGGGTAGAGGGAATGTCTCTGTCGAGATGTGTCCAAGTGAAAGGCCAAGATCTATTCGTGTTAGATGAGGGGTATGTAGCTGTCAATATCGCAGACCTTTGAAATGCCGCAAAGCCTGATCAATCTCGCCGAGCTGTTCCTCAGACAATTTAAAAGTCCAGTCATAACTTTGGCCAACTGAGTCGCCTTCCCAGACAAGATCTCCCGTCAATTGCTTTGGGAAGCCATCCGGGACCGAAGCCGGAAGGTTCCCCTCTTTGAGTCGCTTGGCTGTTCTGGCTTGGTAGTTTTCGTAGTTTGGAGCGTAAGCAATATCTGGCTGACCGGGCGGGGGTGCCGCAGTGACAGTTGTTGTAAAAGACATGATGTTGACGGTCAATGGGAAGTGATGTAGGATAGAGGTGTGAAGGACTCGCCATGATCGCCGGTAATAAGCAAATGGGTTGGAGGCCATTATTAATACGAGGCATAGCAAGTGGTGGTGGGATCTGCATAATGAGGTGATGCGTAACACTGATTGCACCATAGCACATAATACTCTCCAAAGTTATGCGAAAATGGAGAAAAGTTCAGTATGTAACCTTGCATGATGAGAGTTAATTGAAGCATATATCTGCAGTACTCGTTGGCTCTAATCATAGGAATACATTCACTCTCGGAACTCCTCCAACTCGGCCTTCCCATGATATAACGTCCAAGCCCATAGCGAATCCACAACCAGAATTGCCCCAAAACTGAACACAAGACTACCCCCAAACACAAACTTGTAATACCACCACGCGTTGCTGTCATTCAAGTCACTCACCTGACACACGATCGCCCAAGGCAGAACATACAGAAAATTGCTGGCGAGACTCTGATACAAATACCATCTCGGTCGCGTCGCCAGAAGGATCGTGGCAAGTTGAGTTGACATTGCGTAAAAGATATAACACCAGTCCAGACTTTGCCACATGTAAGCTGTGACCTCTGCGACTTCATCTGACCCGCTGATGTATGATGCAAAGGGCTTTGCTCCGAAGAGCGTGAGGAAGATGGCTATCGGGACCTCGAAAATGAGGGCGATAATTAATGATCTGAATGCTGGGCGCGCGATGCCACGAAGGTCTTTTGACGATGCTTGAGGCTTTCGTGTGCTGATGTCGACGCGTCTTCTCCAATCGCCCCAGTTGTGACCGATGAATTGCAGCGCAGTAGCCTCCAATGCCTGAACGGGAACCATGATTAGACCCCAACGGATGGTATTGAATACACCCCAAGCTGTAGCGTATACTGCACCTAGAGCCACGATGGTGCTGACCAGCCAGAGATACAAGGCGTTTCTGACAGCCGACTCGGTGAAGAAGATCAACCCAGGCGGGAGAAGGACTTTGAGTGCGTCAAAGCTTGGGCGTAGCTTCTCTTGAGGATCATGCGGTGTGTGCCTCTTGAATGACCAAGTATTCGACCAGAGGAAGTAAACAAGTCCTGCAAAAGCTGCGACAAGATTACACACCAGTTGGATCGTGCCTTGCATGTTGACAGTCGGGGTGAAGGAACCGACGTGAAACTTCGAAATGAGCAGAAAGTCGAGGATGATGTTAACGGCAAACTTGACGGTGCTTATCGCCAGTGGAATGTCAGGTTTGTCTAAAGCCCTCGTCGCTGTCGCCACTGCAGTCTCCAGCGTGCCGCTGAAAACGGTGAACGAAGCGATGCGAACATAAGTCAAACTCACATCGCGAACTTCCTCCGGCACAAAGCTATTCGCAAAAGACGAAGCAGCAGCAAGGAAGACAATACTCAATACCAACCCGATAACAGATTGGAACGCAATAAGGGTATGCGTCAATTGAAGACGCTTCCCCAGCGATCGCGAGGCCTTATCTCCAATGATAACCCACGCCGCTCTCGGCAATCCTTCATTCACTGCTTCCGACGCAGTATTCATGTACGTATACGCATCGGTGAGCACCACCATTGATGCATCAATGTTTGCGACCCATAGTTTGGATAAAGTGCCGTATAGAGCGGGGAGGATGAATGATGCGAGGTTGAAGAGGAGGGAACCAGTGTAGTGCGTGCGATGGAGGGATGATGATGAGAATGCGGAGGGGAGACGGCGGATGCGGCGGGTGATACTGTTGAGCATCTTCATCATTTCTGATGATCTCAGATCATTTTTGGAGAGATAAAGAGGAGTGTTTGTTGGTTTGGAGGAGCAGAAGGATGAGTGAGAGGGGAAATGGTTGTGTAACCGAAAATGAGGGAGAAAATACGACGTAGCGAGGTGCGAGAACCCCTCTTCAGCTGGTCGGCCTCCTGCATGAAAAGCGCAAGCACTCCTAACTAGCACAAGAAAGCTATCTTCATTGATAGAAGCGAAGATAACGAAGTCCTTGGCCGTTTTTGAGAAATAAAGTCAATATGAATGGCCTTGGTAACCTGCTGCGACGATAGCAAAATCAGAAAAGTATACGATCACTGATATCTGCCCCTCCTGGCCACAAATCGCCAGTCATCACAGAGGGTGTTGCCCGATATCTGAGAATTGCCTTCACACTACCCAGAGTAACCCCAAACTATCGAGGCAACTAGAAACCTCGATCGCGAGAGCGCTCTGAGACAAAGGCACAGATCGCTGTTCAGTTCATTCTAGATCTAGAGTCGACGAAATTCCTAGCTTACCGTCCTTCCCAAGTCCCAGCAACCACATTTCCAGGTCGTCTCTCACCCCCTGTACGAGTTCCGTCTCCAAGATTCCATCTTGCCATACAAAAGACACCATCATATCTCCGCCCTCAACGCTTGCAGCATTAACCGCCAGCGCAGAGCTAAAAACCGGCGCAAATTGGGCAAACATGATACTCTCCAATTCCCAGGGACCATTGGACGCCGGTACGGCGATAGAACCCAGATTGCTCAACGTCCATAGCTCCCGCCTCGGCTTTCCGTACCTCGCCTGGAAGATATCACGCCAGTCTCCAACATAACGGAAAAGATACGAGAACTCGTTATGGGGCATTGTGTCTGTTCTTCTCTTCATGTCCCGTCGCAGCTCGACCGCGAGCTTCCAGACGTTAGCATCACCACCCTGTCGAATCTTAGCCAGGACATCGGGCCCAAATTCCTGCGCGTGTGATGATGCGCACTTGGACATGTAAGTCTTGTTGAAGTGCACCTTTTCGGAAATCCACGGTCGTAGGCTGATAGCTGTGAGATTGACAAAGCCCTGTTGCTCGGTCAGTGGCGCGCGTCTCGCCAATGAGGTAGCGCAGAGTGCATTTAGAAGGTTTGTCATTGTAGTTTGTTCCTCGCGACACCTTCTAACTACAGCTTGAGTGACCACGGAACTCAGCGAAAGGTAGCGGATGTTGACGGCTTGAATGTCAGGGTTGCACGGCTTGCCCGCCCACTTCTGAAATGCGAAAGGTTTGACGCATGAAGGTGCATACATATTCCAGAGTTGGGATATTATCCAGGAGGTGTCTGCTGTGAAGTTGATGAGCTCTTCCTGTGGGTGAGGATAGTCGCGGAGAGGGTCAGTCAAGTTTACGATAAGACCTTTTTCCATCATCAGCACGACGGCGGGATCAGGATTGTTGAGAGCGTCAGTCAATGATATATGAAACTTTGCAGTGCTTTCCCCGTCGTAGATGGCGTGATGAACAGTCAAGCAAACTCGCAGTCGGCAGACGTTCCTATCCCCCAAGTTTGGTTCATGGAAGACCCGAACGTGCCAGCCCGGGCGCTTCGAAAGATCAGGCCATGGCTGCAACAGCAACTTTTCTAGATTCCTAGCCACTGAATCGACAGATGGTGCTTCCACCTCTTCAACCTGTTGAGAAAAGTCAACGGACGACAAGGCAACGAATTGTGGCTGTTTTGAATCTTCTCCAATGATTCCAACGCGCATTGCCGGCTGCTTAAGCATGACTTGGGCTACGGCCGTGCGTATCCAGTGTAACGTAGAGCCATTTTCGAACCTTGCCCTCGGAATGGTCAAGGTGGCGGTGTTTGCGATGCGGAAGTAGATCCCGAGCGCATGACTGGCGGTATATATGGATTCTCTGTTTGCAGTCAGCTCACAATAGCCCAGTATCTAAAATGTACCTACGATACGCTGCAGCTTCTGATGATATTGGTATCAGTCCTATTAGTCATGGCTGATCTTTGATGACGCGTTTATGCTTGTTGGAAAGAGAGACGTGCGGGATGGTAACCCCAGATTAAGCTCAGGTAGCTAATAAGACTCGGTTCACAAGGAAAGAGAAATGAAAACAAGAAGGGTGAGAAAAGCTGAACGAAGTAACATTTTCTGGTGCTGATATGATCTCTAGGCTCTATGATAAATTGTAAGTGAGCGTTCGTATTCGCATCTATCCTTGAGTTATGTCGAGGCTGCCGGCCATCCCGAGCCCCTCCTAATCCCACGCAGACTACGCCTAGCTTAGCCACTTAAAATGTACCATTTCCTACCGCAGTCGTGCTTTGTATACAACAACCAAGTATAGATCTAAGTATGTTCAATGGCCGAGGACGACTGGCTTGTGCAGGGATACTGATACGAGGCAGGTCAACCCTTTAATTGCAGCCATGAAAACAAGGCTCGGTATCTGACAAGAGACCAATACAGATTCAAAACTGAATTAATCTCGTTCGAATATTGCTCAGCGCTAGTTTCTGCATTACTCGCAAGGACTTCCTCTCCCGATCTTAAAGTTTCGGCAACATTATCTGTGTTTGCAGCCTAAAGCTTAACCTTGTAGGCCGCCATCATCCATAGCTAAAGCTTCGGCAAGGTTTACCGAGTGTTCTCGTTCGTCTATTGCCTGTTCTCCCGCGCATCACAGTGTTCCGCTGACAGCTCTATGACCCCATATGATGCCATGGCCTGGCATGTGAACTTTCTTGACGAGGGGGGGCGCGCCCATTCCATACTGTGAGCAGCAGCCTGGTTCCTTGTGCAGCTACTGCACAGGGGGCAACCCTGAATTATCTTCACGGCAATTTCAAGGTAGAAGTCGGGTTCAATGCCCCATATTGAAGGATACCAGGTGCGACCGGAAATGAATTCCGGAATACAAAAATACATAGCCCCCTCATCACATGCATCGGCGGAGTGTGTTCATGGCATCGGCAGTTGTAAGACGCGGTGCTTAGATGCTACCACACAATACTTACTAAAATGATATACAATCCCCTCCATCGCCTTCGCCGGCACTTAAGACTCCGAATCCTGCAGACTTTTGCCTGCCACGGATTGCCTCCCGGTGATGGTAACGCTCTAACCAATCGGCTTGCACCCCCTGATCTAATACCCCTGGCTACTCGGACACGTCCCGTGCCGAAAGCAACAAAGAAAGTCAATTTTGCAATGTCTTAACGAACACCTGGAATCAAAGCGGAAATGAGGCTCTTCCTTGCCAAGCCCCTTGCATCTAAGCCGCTGATGACCATCCTTGTTGAATGGACTGAACGCTCCGGCCACTTATATCCGGCTCTATCGCCGAGAAAATCCAGGCTTGATTCGTGTTACGGCCTACTAGCAGGCCTATAATATAGTATAATTTACCTACAAGTCCTGTCCCAGACAAATCCTTGAGTGAATACTGTGACAATCTAACCCGGGAATGCGAAAGGCGGAGTTATGTAAAACCAACACGGGGCCTAGATGAGCGCTCGCCAATAGCCTGGAAGCTTACAAGAAACCGGCCGCATGACATGTCAGTAGTGCGTCAAGTGCTGTGGCCATAGTCAGAGGCTGGGGCTATTGACGAAGTATACTTGCTGCTACCTCCTTAGGTGGAAGAAACGTTACAGATAGGGGTGGGATGTGAAGATATGTGAGTGTGAAAGTAGGGGTGAAACGGCCAGGCTTGAAGACCGACGACTTTAATCATGATCTGACCTACTTTGAAGGGTAGTTTACTAAAGCTAGTAGAGCGGAAGTTGGCCGAGCCAAACTCAACGCTGGCAGGCCCGCAGTCTAGGCCGATAGAATTGATTACTTTAGGAGTTGTGTAGGGTTTTTGGTGATATGATATGCATGTACAATGGGGCAAACATAGTATTTGTAGCACGAAATGGCTTGAGATTCTTTTACGATCAAACTTTAAACATAAGTTCTATTGCTGATGACCAACCTCTTTCGTTAACCTTGATGTTCAGTCTATCACACAAAGGCCTGCCTCGCTACCACCACCCTCGGCCTCGTATATGCACAATTTTGTCTTTTATAAACGGCCTAAGTTACTGCAGGCTTATGCGTGATGACAGGAATTCATCTGTACGCCTTGACTGTATCCTGAAACAAACAGGTTCGGGCTTACGTAGCTTTCTCCGTCAACGGCTCAGAACTCATGGCAGAGCAAGATATTTCCAGTGCGTACGGATATAAATATACGTATACTTCAGCGTGAAGTATGGTAGTCTATTTTCTATACGTGATACTCTCATACACACAACAATAACCCCATTCGTGCTACTAGCTTATCTTCATAACACCACCAGAATGGAGTCCATCAACCGATTCATGATTGGCGTTTTTGGCCCTACAGGCGCCGGCAAGACTAAATTAGGAGTCTCTGTAGCCAAGTCCATCTATGGCCAAGTCGTCTCAGTCGATAGTCTGCAGTGTTACTCCCCCGGGAGTATTGTCACTGCTAAGCCTACTACTGAGGAAACGGATGGAGTCGACCACCATATGATCGGATATCTGGAGGCTGACGAAGAGCCAACAAACTTTGTGGCAGAAGCAATCAACAGATTGGAGGAACTCCGTGACCATGGGGTTATACCTGTAGTCGTTGGAGGCTCAACATCGCTCACTTTGCCTCTCCTGCGCGATGCTTTGAACCGGGGATGGCGTATGGCTGCTATCAATCTGCTGCCTCACCAGTCTACCTATCTTAGCAACATCGAATCCAGACTGGACGACATGGTAGAGGCAGGCCTTTTGGAAGAGCTTTCAGGCCTGAAAGTCCTCGAAGACAAGCATCTGAACGGAAAGCCCGACTTTCACAGGGGTATTTGGAAGGCCATTGGCTATCGGGAGTTGTACCCATATCTGGCGGCTCGGAAAATGGACGTTCACTGTGATCAGCTTCTCAAGACTGGGCTAGCCTCGATGAAAGCAAACACCTTTCGATATGGGATTACGCAACTTGAATGGGTTCGCCAGGTACTTGGTCCGTTTCTCCACGCGGAGAAAATTGCCAACATGAGCCTTACGGTTGTTGACAAGACATCTTGGATCTCGGACGTTGAGAAACCTGCAATTCGAATGGCGAGCGATTTCTGCCATGCTTCAACTTCGATCAGTTTCCATTCTATCAGCGGATCAAAGCCTCGGGTCCTATGCATCTTGTAAGATGGCCTTATCTCCCATTGCTGGATGCAGAAAAAGCTGACTTTATTTAGTGGTGGCTCGTCATCTGGTAACGACCCGGCCCATATCGAAGCCGCCAAGTCTCTTGGCAGAGTCTGTCACGAAAACAACATAAAGATTGTGTACGGAGGCGGCACAACTGGAGTGATGGGCGCAATCGCAAGCACTCTCGTTGGCCTTTCTGGGCCAGATGCTGTGCATGGTATCATTCCAGAGGCACTGCTCAAATACGAAGCCAAAGAGTCGGGCAGACATCCCAAGGATCCTGCTTACGCCAGATACGGTAAGCAAACCGTTGTTAAGGATATGCATACTCGAAAGCGCTTGATGGTCCAAGAGGTGATGGAGGGGAGCGAGGGAAGTGGTTTCGTTGGACTGAGTGGTGGCTATGGCACTCTAGAAGAGCTCTTTGAGGTGATAACCTGGTATCAGCTGGGTATTCATGACCGTGGTATCTGTTTACTCAATACGGGCGGATTCTTCGACGGGCTCGTTGATTGGCTAGGCAACGTGGTTCAGAAAGGGTTCATCGGCCTAGAAGATGCTGCAATTCTTAGCATTGCCAGTACAGCCGAGGGGGTCGTCAAGTGCTTGGATCAGAAACCCGAGTTTTCTCGAAAGGGTGAACTAGAATGGGTTTAGATTACTATAGCCGTAACATCATATGCTTTGGCGAGGCCATAGCGGGATTTCCAAGTATTAGGGTACCACTCGGGCTGGAGATAACGTTACTACAGTCACGATGGGTGTCCCTCAAACAACCTTGTCACGGACGGATGCGTGGTCGTAGACTTACAAGCCTGTACGACGAGGGCCCAGAATTTATGCTGTCATAATATATAGCTCATAAGAGATGGTGCCGCGTGCAGAAAAACAATTTTCTTTTCTTCGTTCACTCAACAAACCCATTGACTTAGATTCCGATGGCTTCCTTACACGCTCACTCCTATCCGGCTTATTATTGCCTGTCATTCGTACTTGGCATTTTGACTCATCTGTTTGTTTTCCGCCGAGGCGAATGGAATCTCTACGTTTTCAACATCTTGCAAGCTTTTGCTGTCCTCGAAAGCATTTTAGTCTACATTGTTGCTCGAGCAGTCGAGGGTGGAGATTACACTGTATGGAAAGTCACTGCCATATCGTCTTACTTCACACTATCAGCCTTGATGGGTTTGTCAATGAGTATGCTCATCTACCGCGGCTGGTTTCACCGATTGGGTCGATTTCCAGGCCCCTTTTGTGCCAGGCTGTCTAACCTGTACATTACATTTCACGCCTTCAAGAAATTTCGCCTTTTTGAGGAGGTGCAGCAGTTGCATAGAACATATGGGGATATTGTTCGGATTGGTGAGTAATTGCTTTATGCGGATACTCCTTTCGCGAGCTCAAAAACTAACAAAGGCGGTGGTGCTCACATGTTACAGGACCTAGCGAACTATCTATCATAGATCCGCGTGCTTTGCAAGCTCTCCATTCGAACAGCTCCCCTTGTACTAAAGGCCCTTGGTACAGCATCGAACACCCTATCAAAGCTCTACAGATGACCAGAGATAAAGAGGAGCATGCCTATCGGCGTAAGGCATGGGACATGGCTTTCAGTTCCAAGGGTCAGTGCAGTATCTACGCCAGGCGAGGTAGGCTAACATGTTGAGAAGCACTTCGAGAGTATGAAGCACGAGTGGCTGGGTACACTACCCAACTAGTTGAGCAGATAGAGGCATCCCAGGGTGCACCGATTGACGCATCTTTATGGTTTAACTTTTATAGCTTTGATGTTATGGGTGACTTGGCCTTTGGAAGAAGTTTCAACATGCTCAGAAACGGAACAGCACACCCATTTATGGAACTGGTCCATTCTAACATGCTAATGGCAGGTTCACTGAGTCACCTGCCCTGGATTTTTCCACTTCTTAAACGCATTCCGGTCTTGAATCAGAAGAACCTCGAGTTTCAGGGATGGCTCAAGCAACAGGTCGACTGGAGACAGAAGGTACGCAAATGATAGATCCTGGCGGGCAGCTTGTGTGATGTACTAACGACTGGTATTACAGAATAAGCCAGATCTGCCGGATGTATTTTCTTGGATCCTATCTGACTACGACGCTCTTAACAACCCGACTGCTCAAGATACCATCAACTTACGCGGAGACGCTCAGCTTATCGCTGTAGCGGGCAGGTATGATGCCCTGTAGCAAGTGGAAGATGTTTGAACTAATCTTTCCTTAGCGATACTACAGCGTCATCACTTGCCTGTCTTTTCTTCGAGCTCGCGGTTAACCCAGAAACTTGCCTTGATCTCCAAAGAGAACTGGATCAATACTACGCAGAGCATGGCAAACTAGACCATTCAGGTCTGTCAAAGCTCAAATATCTGCAAGCTTGTATCAACGAATCTATGCGACTCTACCCGGCTATCCCGTCAGGCTTGCAGCGAATGACTCCGCCTGAGGGTCTGGATGTTGGCAGCACGCATCTTCCAGGGGATACTATAGTGACAATTCCAACTTATACGTTCAATCGAGGTAAGGGTGTCCGATAATGATGCTTTGGAAAGGACTAAAGGACGGCTTGTCTACTTAGATGAAAGACTCTTTACACATGCCGACAAGTTTATCCCGGAACGTTGGACAACAAAGAAGGAACTCACGAAAGACCCTTCGCTTTTTGTTCCATTCTCAATTGGTAATCGCATCCCCAAGTCCAGAATCTATTGGCCTAGCTAATGCCTGTGCTGCGCTGTAGGACAATACTCTTGTGTTGGAAAGCAGTTGGGCCTCATGGAAATTCGGTTTGTAGCTAGCCAGATCTTGCTGAAGTTCAATATTGAACTGGCACACAAAGGTGTGGCTAGAGACTTTGTTGCGGGTCTACGAGACGGCTTTACCTTGGCTATGTCAAGCCTCCACTTAGTCTTCACCCGAAGGACTACCTAGACCGGCCAAGGGAGGCGTTGCTGTTTAATGGATGGGATACTATCCTGCTGGAATTCAGAATCCCCAGCTCATCGGGACGCATGTCACTGTTGGCAGGGGAAGACATCCTGCCCTTTCACCTTTGATACTCTGGGGAGTGAGACTAGCTTAAGAATTGATATCATCCGTCTGTACAAGATGGTATTTACGGTCACTCTCTCAACTAAAATGGATCGCGTCTCGCTAAGGAGGCGTTTCTGCACTCTGTCCGGTATGCATTGTAACGAATCACTTACTACAGGGAGTCTGATGCCCTGTGGCTGCATAGGGGGTAGAAATTGCTCCGACAGTGTGCATAATTATGCTACGTTACTGCCGCGGAATGAGGACGAACGGCCCACGTAGAGTTTTGAAATGCTAACTGGCCGGCATATACAATAGGCGATCACTGGCGACAAGGGAAGCTGACAAGGGTGGCCTCAAAGTAAGTTCAAACCTAAAGCAAGGTCTTTTGGATGGGAGAAGAGAAAAGAGTAAGCGGGCAGGCAGATGCTTCCTCGGCTCGGCAGTTGGAAGATTGCGAATCTAGACGCTATGGAAGTATGTGTTGTATTACACCGCAGAAACACCCCAGGAGTGAAAACTTATAAAGGAGTAAGGCATACTTGACAAAAAAAAGATCTTCACCACCTCTCAAAGCGTGTTTGAATAAGAAGGCTCATTATTTCTCGTTTCCCGGACTCAAACTCGCGTCATGCATTTCGCTATACCTCCTGAGTATCAATCAGAACTTGAAGCAATTCAACCAGTTGACCTCAGATCCGATGAAGAGATTCTTTCCTCACTGGAGCAGTACAGGCCTGTTACTTCCGAAAAGAACATCTGGGCTTTTTGGGATTCAGGTCTACGGACAATGCCCTCCTGGTGCCAGCGAAATGTCATCGGTTGGGTGCGCATTTGCGGGCCTGATTGGACCATTCGAGTACTCGATAAGATACCCAGTTCTCCCAATCACGTCCTCAAGTTCATTGACAGGGAGATGCTGCCTGAGGCGTTCTTGAGCGGAACTATGGATGGCCAGCATGCCGGGCAACATGCTGCTGATTGTATCCGGGGTCCGCTTCTTTTCCGCTACGGGGGTGTAAGTATGGACGTTGGGTGCCTTCTCATTAGACACATCGATCGCATTTGCTGGGATTTGCTTGCAGATCCAGATTCACCGTACGAAATCGCGGTGCCGGTTCTGTATGGCCAGACGATTGCGAATCACTTCGTTGCCGCTCGGAAAAACAACATCTTCATAGAGAAATGGTAAGCCTTGAGAAGAACCCGATGGACAAGGGACTAATGATCATCGCTCAGGCACCAGCTCTTCATGCACTTGTGGAATGGTCGAACCCACCAGCATGGTATCAGCGACAATCCCCTGCTGGGATTCATCAAAGACATACGTTACGATGACGCTACGGACTTTCACTGGGACTGGAAGGTGCCGGTAACTCAATTTCTAGAGTACATTGCCCAGGTTCTGTGCTGGCAACGCTTGTGCTTAGTTCGTGATACGGGCGATGGCTTCAAAAGCTCTGAATACTGGCAGCGTAACATTCTCTGCATTGATGCGCTCAACGAAGTCTGGGGCGGCGAGAAGACATTGGGTTTCGATGGTATTGGTCCTCGGATGTACAAGCTCTTGACTATTCGTCTTGATGCCGATCCGGATTCGACAGACTACAAGGATGCGTACAAACTTGTGTGGCGATTATTGAGCAAATCAAGCTTTCAGAAGGTGACACGTGCGAAGAACCTGACGCACACACCACATCTTGGAACGTTGTGGGATCAGAACAAGGGGCAGGATTGTGTGCCGGGAACATTTGGGGAGCTACTACGGTACGGAGCGGTACACTTTCGTCAGAAGCGTGAGAACATTGAGCGCAAGGAGGCTTGTGAGCCTAGAACTCTCATAGAGAAAGGGCTCTTGGAGGCCTAGACAGTTCTCTACCTTAATTGTATGGTGACACGTTTCAACGTTCATGCAAATACCTGTCGATCACCGCATGTGCAAACTCATGTAAATGTGACAAGTAGATATCCTAGCCTACCCGGTGCGGTCCGTCCGGCTGTAATGCCCCGGAAGGCGGAACACTGGCCAGCATGTTTGAATTGGTGTCAATTGACTTCGGCTATCTTCTGTGTATGTTACATCTAGGCTTTTGGCCACGTAATGCATCACCAAGTTATCTATGCCGGTAGTTCTGGCGGACCAATCAAGGAAATGGAGGGGCCATGGGCGTTGGTTGAGTCGTAAGACTTGACGGCTTCTCGGAAGCTTACTGGCCAAAACAGCCCAATATGGATGAATGCAGATATGCCGGGCTGATATCGATGTCCTGTAGCAGCTATTGCCGTACAAACTCATGAATTGAGTAGCGCCTATAGGTATTTTAGTCCCTATCTTTAAAGCCCTATTAGTTAAACTAAGAATAAAGATATCTCTAACATTTTGCTATTAGTTAAATAGCCTTGGTAGCTTGGATCCCCTGGCGCTACTTAATTTCGTGACTTTGTACGGTATTGTTTTCGGAATCTGCAGCAGGTTTTCTTTCATTATCTCCCCTCGGTTTCCCACCATGGACCACGTTGTGTTCCTCTTAGCTAAGCTCAGTTTTAACAATCACATTATAGGTAGTCGAAAGCGGTGCTGTAACTGTGAAACCTTCTGTGTAAAAGGAAAGCCTATAAATAGTGAAGAGTAAAATAATTATAAGATAATTTACTAATAAAAGTGTTTAGTAGTAATGATATATCTAGGCAATAGTATATTATTTAATACACTAATGAAGTATTGTAAAGTCACTGGTTATGCTTGTATAGCATTCTGGATATTTATATTTTAGTATCTATCCTTATAAGTCAGATAAGGCTATTAGCTGCTGTCTAAATAAAAACATATTCTTAGTAAAACCCTTATGATAAACTGCACCATCCGAGTCACGACTTCATGGAGGCCCGACCATACACTTGCATTGCTAACCTGAATCGCCTTAGAGGATGAACCGATGTTGTCCAAGCGAAAGTACCTCGCCAACTTGCTCATAGATAGGCTCATGCCTTATATCTTGCACTGTATCATCCCGGTCTTTATCACCTCAACTGGAGGCTCTTCGTTCGGCAGTGCCACTGGTAGCGGATCTTGCAAAGGTGGCACTAAGGGGATGGGAGGAAGGCTCGAGGTTGTTGATGAAGCATTGCTCAATAGAAGTAGCAGTGTCGGTGCTGGTCTCTATAGACTTGGAGTTTGTGATGGGCAAAATCTCTCGGACATGCTCGACCATAATGTTCACTAGCTGGTCGGTTTAGACGTGTAGCAAAGGTCTGCTATCCTCCAGAGACTCCTAAAAACCTTCAACCGCCATCTTGTCGGAAAATCCCCGGCTCAGATCACCCTGACCTCACGTATCTTAGCTTGATTGGGTATGAGGCTACTATGAACAGGCCTCAGCTCAACCAATTTAACTTGTCTCAAACCTCATTTATTTGCTCACTTCGGTGCGCCTTAGCTGGTCGTCACACATCTTCTATTGTCTATCGAATCGATTGCTTGCAACCATTATTTCAAGTATCTCTTACATATTTCATCATGACTACTCCCCAGGTCTCCCAGGCTGATGCCAACCTTTGGCTCGCTTACGGCGTCAAACTCAAGAACACTTTCGCTCAGTCTTGTAATCTGGGCGACCAAAACCGCCTATAGGTAGGTATGGCTTCTGTACAATTTCTGTGCAAGTCTGTCATTTCTTATCCGCTTCTACATCGCACCACTCTCTTCTGCAGGTATCGCGGCCGGCAAGGGGGTCGACTCAGCCATTACTAACCTCGGCCTGCATGTTATTGGCGACACACTCTTAAGCCTTGATGAGCCTTTCTTCCTTCCTGGCCGACAGAGCTACTTCCAACGATGCGTTTCGTAAGTCGCAGTTCTCGACCTTTATGAAATAACTCGTTAAAAACAACAATAGGTACTCCAACAGCATTGAACTTGTAAGGAATCCCCCAACCAAAGTGCTACTGGTCTAAACAAACACTTGTAGCGCTCGGATAAAAACACTGGCGCTCAGGTTCGATACGATGATGCGCGTGAGAAGTTCGAGAAAGTCACCAAGTATTACACAGAGACCAGAAATGCTGCCCAGGTTGCCTGGCTTCAGGAGAAGAATGCCGGGTTTACCACTGATCTCCTCGATAAGTGGTCCTTGCAGAACTATCCTCAGTTGGAAATGGCACATAAATTCATGACGGCTGCCGCCCGTCTCTCAGCGGCGGCTTCTACCGCTATGGATGGCCCAATGGCTTCCATTGTTGGCCGATACCAGACTACTCTCACTGTCGCGAACGGCACGGCCGCAATCCATGGGTGAGTGGCTTAATTTGTTATCGTCTTTTCTAATCTCATCAGTCTGACCATGACCTGCTCCCCTGCGAGCGCCGATCAAATCGCTGCCGGTCTAGCTGGTGCCCCTATTGCTCCGTTCGAGCGTCCCGCATACACGATCAGTGCTCAGTAGCCCCAGTTGGTCGACAGTTGGATCGGCACATACGCCGGGAACTCCAAGAACCCCAAGAGAATCACTTTCAAGGCGAGCGACTCGCAGTCATCATGCGAGTACGCCTAACTTACATCGCGCCAACGGAAAAACTCGGGACCCGTCTGCCTTTAACCGTCTGGGTGACCCAGTGACATGCACAGACCAATTTCCGCACTTTTTGTTGTAAATTCATCGAATTAACCGGCTACCTACAATAGAGTTGTTCAGTCCTTTTTTTACTGACATGAACGAGTGTCACGTTGAGAGTATTGCATCACTAGAAGCATGTATAAAATCCTCAGGTAATGAAAGAAAGTAACGTGTTGCTAACTCAGATACTACTATTCATTTCTAGGAGGGAAAAACCTCTGCGCGGACTCAAAACCCTCCTAGAAACAACTTGACAAGGAATGAATAAAACAAAATGCCCAAAGCTTATCCCACAGCGGTTTCCATCAGTTGGTAACATTGGCGCGGTTGGACCAGTCGTCCTTGATCCTCCAGGTCTTGTCAACAGCCAACACGCTGTAAGAAACGCTCAGCTCATCAGTCCTCTTCTGGTAGAAGACCTTGAGCTGGACCTGGTTGTTAGTCTCGACTACGTTTGCAGTCAAGCCGCTCTTGGGTGCAATGTCGACCGACTTGCTCTTCAAGACTTGGCCATGCGACCACTTGGAGCCGGGCTTCCCAACACGGCTAAGTTCGCGAAGTTCCAGCTTTGACTGGTCGACGTAGAAGACACGGACCTAGATCAAAAGGAAATGTAAGCTTCGTATATAGTTTTTATAGTGCTTAACTGACCACATCCTGCTCTGATCCATTCTTGTAAGCAACGGCAGCAAGAATAGGCAGCTCCTTGTTGACATAGACATAGTTCCCCTCGACTTTCAGGTTTTCAGAGTTGTACTGCTCATCCTGGGTCTCGTCCTGAGTCTTGCTGGTCCAGTAGGAAATTCTGTAATCCTCTGTGACATGGAAAACAATGTCTTGCTCGGCGACGGGTGTCGCGACGGTAGCAACGTCCTGTGATCATAAGTCAGAAACGCAGTTATGGGTTAGATAGATGCTGGATGTGCTTGTACCTGAAGTTGAGAAGACATCTTGGGTGATGAAAAAGGTGGGTTTCTTAAAGAATTTGGAGTAGCTGAAGTAGGGCTTGTTGGGTTGTGTGTGAAGGAAGAGAGATGAGTGTGAGCTGTTTCGATGAGATGATGGAGGGGATCCGTCACGCCTTTTATAATTTTCTCGCCGTCCCATTTCGACTCTCGATGCTGCTTCTCAAGTTTCTGGGAGTCTTTGGCGCTGCGCGTCACAAGCCTAATTGACATCAGAACAAGGATCAAGCAGGCCATACAGAGAAGACACACTGAAACGAGCGTGATAGACAGAAGCAGTTGTGGTAGCCATGCTTCCGACCCGCAAAAGGGCGTAAAGTCGAACATCATACCTGGCTTTGGCTTCATGTTTGGTTGTGGGCACCCCGAAAATATTCTCTAGTGGAAGCTCTTTCTTGTACGCATATGTAGAGCGGCTGCAGTATTCATTCAAGCCACTTTCTATGTCTCAAACGCAGACTTGTCGCATAGTCACAGACTAACGAGGCATACGAATTCAATTTCAGCTCACCACAGTCTTTACAGCCAGCCACTTGATCCCTATCTCAGACGCATATCAGCTCACTAAATGTGCTATATCACAACCTCTATCAGATATCTCAGTTGCTAGTTGTGATGTGGCTCATGTCCATGGACGAATGTTAGCGTATAATGTCGCAATGGTCACAGGTGTACAAGGTCAACTAGAGTCCAGATCACGGAGATGGCTTGTCGGCAGATGAAATCTCTAAAAGCTAGTCCCGTAAAACAGCTCCAGCCAGCCACTTGATAGTATATCCTATACCCTGTAGAGACAGCGGTACATCGCATGTGTGGATCACTGTCGCCCTTTGGAGATTAATTAGAATCACCCATCGTAGACTTTGGTAAGTCTCTTGCTTGGTAAGAAGTTTACTGTATCAGGTTAAAGACATAAACATGAAAAAGGTTAGGGCTTGTGTAGCTAACATTACCCAGGTCGTCTATCTGAGGCTGGTCTAAGTCATCCTTCGTGAGCTTTTAAATCTCTACTAATAGCCAATTGCGTTGAGCCCGCACTTATATTACAACAAACACTTGACTGCTATCGATAGTGATAGGCCTCGGGCTGCGAACCTTCAGGAGTTTCGCGTACCGTAAGTTCTGGGGGTTATATTACCAGTCATGGCTTGCAAATAAGCTAATCGCAATGATGAAGGTTGATTGCGTAATAAGATACATCACTAAGCAGGTACTAGCACCAGCCACAAACCGAAACTTAAACTCGCCAAGATATGTGACTGTGACACGGGGCACCGGGTTCTACTTGCGACTTGGCTAGCCTCGAACTATTGGCCTCGGCTTTACTAAAATACCGCGTAGCCAAGGCTTAAATAGCCACTTTAGCCATTCATGGATTGCCAGCTCGCCTCTTACAGCCACTTACAAGCATTCTCTCAAGCGTCCTCTTGCGTAGCCTATCCTTCTTAGTCTGTTGAGCAACACTTCACTTTCTTCGTAGTATGATGAAGCGGTGACAGGTTGAACTGAGCTAAAAGGCACGCGCCATGGAGGGATAGTGGCTTATTTGCTGTTAGGCTTTGCGAGTAACAACTTGAATCAGCACAAGCAAGTGTTTTCTGTTGATACAATCAGAAAAGCATTTAGAGGTAAGGTGCGCTATTGTGTGATGAAATCCGGCAATATACGGGCGCGGTCGCTAGAGTTGCATCTGAAATTTGGATCGTGAATCGTTATAGGGTATTCCAGAGCCAGTACAGATAAAGTGAGCAAGCAGCTGAGATGATACCATTTCTGCGGCCTAAGTTCCTGTCTCGCTTGGCTCTACTCTTTTGGTCTCTAGCTCTGGTAAAACGAGCGCTGAGATGAGACATGTGGAGTGCAAGTGATGTTGTTTTCGACTTAAACGCTGTGGCATGAACTATACAGTCCTTCTTAGCTTATCACGCCCGTATGGCCATCATACGCAATGCAGTGGGGCTGGTCAGTCGACGGCTAGCAGGCTACACGAGAACCTCGCAATTAGGTTCACGGTCTACCCTCATAGGCAGATCGTATATAAACCAATAAGGCGAAACTGAGGTCCCCATGTGGCTTGATGTTTACTTCACGAATACCTCAAACATACAGAATATTATACAGAATGAGTTGCAGAAGCCATGTAATGACTACTCCTCTCTGAGCTAAGAGGGACTACGCAACGGGCCGCTGAAACAACTTGGTCATCCGACTCCTCCCGCCACCAGCCAGCCACAACTGCCGAAGCTATCCCCACAATAGACTCCAGCCAGCCACCTCCACGACAAACGAGACCATTTGCAGTAACTGGTTCCCGTAATAGCCTCTTTCAATGCTCCGTAGTCTAAGCCTTTCCTCTCGCGTCTTTTTATGGAGTCTGCAGGCCGGTGAACATACGATGTTTAACGCATAGACCGCCCGATCTGCCATCCTTCCCCTGTCTCATGTGACAACCACGCGTGACGGAATTGACCCGCGGTTTGTGGCGTGCATAAGCGTAAGGTTTATTGAAAGCAACAGTTTCGGATGATTCCAGGCCTTGACCTAGGATACGACGTTATGTAGCTATGCACTGCCGGTACTCGCTACAATGAGAACCATAGCCCACGAAGTAGACATAGTTTATTATGAGCTTACCTCATGAGACATCGTGAACCAAGTTGCGCAATTATCAGGGCGCGATAGAGGTAAGATCCAGGTCTGTCATCAGAGCCTCGCGGAGTAGCTATCATCAGCCCCTTCTTCAGTCGTGGCATCTGTTAGCTAGAAGACGTTGCTTCCGATATAAGTACAACGCGCTTTTATGACTGCACCGGGCGATCGAATTGATTCGTGTGACAAGAAATTTCTCCTCAGGCTCTAGTCCCTTTCATTGACCAAGAGCCTCTCCTATTCTGGAAAGAAAGGGGCTGGCTGAACGTTGCCTTGCATGTTTCCATCAGGACATAATACTTGATATACGTTGCTGGAATGTTATATCGGACCCTGGTTGTGTCTCAGTCCATAGCCTCGTATCGCAGCTACAGCATGGGGTACCGGAGTCACAGGACAGCCATAGGAGCCCTTTGTCCGCCTGCTGCGCTTAGTCCACAGGTCTCAAGCTTTTGCCATCACCAGCTATAGGCAATGGCGCTGCAACTCATGATAAACAGGGCCAGCTGAAGCGACTGTGGAGAGCTGAGCTGCGAGATGGCGGCCGACGATCTGTCCTGTACTTGCATTCCCTTTTTATGTCAAGGGCGTTCGATAAGGGCAAAGGAGATGCAGCCTGTCTAGCAAGAGACTCCTCGAGCGTCGCTCTCGGTGGCTTTCTTCTTGCTGTCGTGCTTTACACCTCCTGCATCATCTCGTCATCTTCTCTATCCTCGTTGGACCACTAGAGCGCCAAACATGTTGACCAACTCGTTCCTGCAGTTGGCTGTTCTGCGACAATCCTACCTAGGCTTACTGTCGCTGGTGCGTTCTTTATTCTCTGATCTTGACACCTCCCTCTTTGATGCACTACGACTAACAATCAATGTCGCTTTTTGGATCCGGCTGCTGCTTATGGCACTGTTGCGCAGCCGTCACTAGAACTACCGGACGCGGTTTCAAATACTAGCTCGACTATCGAGAGCGAGGCTCCCCTCGAAGAGTGTGACCCGACAATCACGGTTTGCGAAACAACAGCAAATGTCAAGGTCGCGCGCACACACAATGTCACAAGCTACGTAACAAACTATCATGTGCATGAAGAAAGAACGGTTGGCAAACTATTGAATGGGGGGTGATGTATCATACTGACGCACTCACAGGAGTTGTCTCACGTCTACCCGTACTGTCGTCTCGGTCGTTGTCTCAACGAACACGACAAACGTTGAAGGTATGACCCAAATTGAAGAGTCTATTCTGAACTGTACTGCCAAAGCAATAAGGTCAATGCCGTGACACGATCGTCTACATAGAACCAACGCCACTCATCGTAACCGTTGATGCCAACACCACTACTACTCGGGAGTTCGTGCCCATCACCAATATTTCATCCGTTGCTACGTCATGGTTCCACAAAAGAAGATCTCCCAACGTTTCATCAAGCGGACAAGCACTGGCCTGGCTCCTGGGCCCGGTGACGGCTCTGCTTCACCCCCGTCCAACGCGCCATCCCAGCAACCTCCGCCGGCCACTGGGTCTGGAGGTAACTACAGTTCTGGCCAGCCTGCTCTAAGTATTCCTGCTGTTGGAGGATCTTCGGGTCAAGGTAGTGGGAGTCAAAGGCATGTTCATGTCGATGAGCACTTCAACCAATGTCCTAGGGACTTTGCCGACGGCTGACTAACAGTAGATCGTCTAGTTCCGCTCCCTCTTCTTCTTCCCAGCAGTCGTCCTCCACCATCGAAAGCGTGTGCGGGAGCATATATGGAACGACCTTTAGAAGCGCTTCTCAAGCCTCAGGAGCTTCAGCTAGCTCAAGTGTCTCAGGGGTCTCACGTGCCTCAGATGTGTCGGGTGCTTCCTCGTCCACCTCGTCTTCGACCTCGCGAGGCACTCGGTGATTTAAGATTAGTGATCAAGCTTCATGCTGATGGACACAGTCTTGTGGACATCAGGAAGTATTAGTCAGTAGCTTAGGTTTGATATTGTGAAGCATGACATGGAGCAGTGTATATTCTCACGTGCTGTACCATTCTTTGTAATTAAGGAGTGTCGTTTAATCTTGGCCTCGTGTATTCCTGCTCAGATATGGGCCATCTTTAGTGTTATGGCTGTGCTATGCATAAATATTATTGTTTTGCCTCTCAGCCTGAAGGCTTTCGTCATAATACCTATATAAATGATTGCTGCGCATTGGGTTTAGCTTTTGCTGCCAACACAGATGATGAGCTCACGAAAGCTATTCTGTCACTAGAATTAGGGTCTATGCACCATGCACTAAGCATACCCTCTTTACTTATATTTTGCATCAAGTTAAGCGAAAAAGGAAATGGTTCTAGATTATCATCGTTCTCCCGAAAGATATTCCGAGGATCAGTCTCTGGATGTACTGGTCAAGTTAGGTATTATAAATGCCTTAAACAAGCTTCCCGCGGGAAGTCTGCCTCCCGGGTCCTGTATTTCTTATCTTATCTCTCGCTCGGCCGCGCGGGAACTTCGGATTTCAGCTGCTCTGAAAGCAAATCCCTTACTTACAACGACACCTTTGATATAGTCTACGGACAGGGTTACTCCCGCACGATATCCCTGTTAACTGTCGGTAAGAGCATTGGGCATTATTAGGGTTATTAAATATCATATACCGAAAGTGAAGCTGGTCAACCTAGGAAGTTTCGCATTAGACTAATGAGGAACAGGAGGCCCAAGCATGAGATAGAAGATCTTTTGGCATTAAAACTAAGGCCAATCCAGACTCCCGTCAGTGTCAGGCCTCTTCATGGTAAACTCAGCTGGCTGAGTTACATCCATCATGATTGGCTCCTTGTTCATCTTGTCATCAGTCCTCTCAGCCAACGGCTTTCGGAGAAGCTCTTCCACACTCCCTTCAAACCATTTCTTGATGGTAGATTCTTGATCAATTCCAATTCTGTAAGTCTTTCCGTTGCCGAGATTCCCCGCCTTCCACCATTTCCAAACTTTGGGTTGCGCTTCGTTTGCCTCGCTGTATTCCTTGGCTGTGCTTCCTGGCGGAAGTTGGATGCGTCCTACTCCACTTTCCATGCGTGATATAGATGCTTGTATAGGATATTTTTGTCCAGGATATAGTGTTAGGAAACAATCTTTGTTCTCTTCTCGCAAAGACCCTTCGTGGTCGGGGCCGCACATAAAGATCCTGTTTCGGCGAGCCTCAGTGCCGGTCTCCATGTCCGTGAAGGTAAGGCCGCCTTTATTCATGGGTGAGTCGAAGAGACGAAGGCCTTGAGTTGGGAACGTAATTGGGCGATTATGTTGGAGGAAAAGGTTAATGGTGATGGTATGGTCATGATCAGACTCCAAGTCAAAAATGGGAGACGAGGTGGAAATGTATGCTTCGATAGAAGGCATTATGAAGTGGTTTCTGCCGATAAATGGTGTATAAGCTTGGAAGGATATGTTTTCGAGTAAAGATAGGATAATCACAGACGGGAGCTATATCCTGTATGAGCTTTGACAAGTGACGTAATCATTTAGGCATCACTTCAGTGGGTGTGAATGTGAGAGTGATGTGACGTGTGCTGCAATTAACTCTGACGATTCCAGGTTCAACTTGGAGCTTACCTCTTGAATTTCGGCTTTTCAGGCTGCAAGAAGAAGTCGACGGAGGATTTGGACCCCACGGGGATGTTGGACGGCAGTTGAATTGGCTGATATCTGTAGGAGCTGTTGGCCGATCCTCCTTTATTCTCATTGGCAGAGACCAAACCTTCTGACTATCACGCAACACCATGAAACAGCGTATATGCATGTAGAATCCTCTGTTGGTTCTGCTCGCAAAGAACGCCTGATTCATGAAAACCATGAGAGGTGCTCGGACTGCAATGAGGGATTATCTAGTCAAAAGGAAGCAGAGTGACGTTGTAATTGCGAATTGATTTTCGCCGCAAAACACGGATACGAGCCTTGGCCTGGAGGGTGTACAAGCCTTTGGAAATGAGGCCTCCTATTTTGGCAACGTAAAAATCAGAAGGCACTCCGGTATATCGCGCCGCAAGCTATGGACCGATAGTGATTTACTCAAATTCGAAGCTGAAAGGTTTCATGAGAACTCTTTGGCTCATCTAGTATCTTGGCTTCCAAGAGATGTTGCTCTAGACATCGTCTGGACCCATATGAATATCGTACCAGCAGTAGATTTTGCTAGGGAAAGATTACGATGCAAGCAGAGGGTAACCAACATGATCAGCGGTCATAGCACTCGATCTATTTCTGACTTGACCATGTCAATGCCTTCGATGTTGGGGAGCTTTCCGGGTCTGCTGGCGATGTTGCCTTCAAGAGAGTCCACGACCAACAAGCAAGATGCCTGTTTGAATGATAAGAGATGACGAATTCCTGCATTACTGTGGTCTTCTGGTGGTCAGAGATTGAGGAGCCTGAGAGGTGAGCAAGATACTTGAGGCAGTTCTATCTAATCCAAGCGACAAGCTTGGAAAATGGCTATTTAAGACCATCCTTCTCGCTGTTAATCTTAGCTCTGTAGCACCAGAGCAAGCTTTAGCAGAGCAATATATCATTATCGTCTACTCAATACTTATCATGTACTTTGGACGCATCATTACCGCCTTGAGCCTTCTAGGTGCCTCAAACACCCTGCCAACCCAGGATGGTGTTGTCCTACGCGGAATGTGAGTTCTCCTCTTCTCAGGAAGAATCACCAGGGTATTCCGTGCTTTTTCTATCTTAGACATCTGACAACACATAGTGAGACTAGGTCGTTGCCTAATATGGCATGGGATGATAGTCTCCCGGATGCAAAAGCACAAATGGAGAAATTCCTGAAAGCATGGCCCCAAGTCATCGTCATGGCCAAGTTACTCCATCTGAAAACCGATCCAAGCCTCTATCAAGAAGTCTTAAAGCACTACTTTGAGGAAAAGGATGCGTCCATAGTGGAGAAGGTTTGGAGGGGACTCATAGGTGCAAAGGGTCAAGATGATCAGGGTGACGGCACAGGTAATCCTCTCATTTTTGACATCGTCCTCACAAACAAGCCTACCGACAAGGAGCCCTGCCTCCGAAAGGACAATGTTAGACTTGCATGGCTTGAGCCTGTCGGCGACGGCACTCGCGCTGTAATGAAGATATATGACAAAGGCTGGCAATTTCCAACCATTGACGAAACCTCGTGCGATAACCTGGGCGACGAAGTCAGCGGCAAGATGAGTACTCTGCCAGGGATCATACTCCACGAATTGACATAAGGGATCTCTTGATGCGGCATCTCAGCTTTTCACGACTGACATTATACAGAGATTTCCAGCCTCTTGTGGATTGGGATATTCTTGATTACACATATGGGCCCAAGAACACTCGTTCTGCAGTCACTAATGACGATATCGTGACCATTCTTAACGCCGATCAGTACAGATGGATGGCGCAGGAGTACTACTGGTCACTTATATGTGACAAGACGTTCAAGGCTCCTACTAGCAATGCAGATTACCTTGACTGCCAAGGCACTTGCGTTATTCAGTAAGGGAACTGAAGGCGGCTCAAAAATCCGACTATTATCTGTTGTAACTCCCGTCAGTTGGGATGTAGGGCCAACTTGTTTTGGGCCTGTAACGGTTTCTCATGTTCTTGTATTGGCCATCGACATTGAATCCACGATCTTGGGCAGTATCGACACGACCATCGACATTGGAAGGGTGAGAGTGTCGTTGCTGTCGTCTGCGTGGCCTCCGGCCATTTTCACTCTTTTATCATAGATAACAATTCTGTCATTTCAATGAAAATAACTGTTTAATCACACGTAATTTTTGTCTAATTTACTGTCTTACATACCTCGCTCAAGCAATTTGTACCGCAAAAACTTAATGTAGGGTAGACCACTTCTGTTACGACCTGTCATTTGTTGAAGAAAACAGCGATCAAACACGCCGTGCCCATGGTAAATAATATTATATCATCACCCCGCATTTATTGTGCGTTGAGTCAGAGCACTCTTCTACAGTAATCCACGCGTTGTCTCTGATGGGTCGATAAGACTGCCTACTTCAACCATCGTCCCCTCAATTTAGCGCCAGCCGATTGGGTGGATAAATACATTCAGCCCAGCCGGATATCACCAACATGCATTTGTCCACGAGGTGCGGGAACATAAGTATCAACTCAGCTGCCGATGCCAACTGCCATCTCGAAAGGGTCAAGCCTGCGAAAAAAACAAATCAGAGACAATATACTGCAGCCACAATGTCGCCCTCCAACCCCATCATCCCTGGCTTCTCGCCCGATCCGTCCATCGTCAAGGTGGGCGAGTGGTACTTTCTTGTCAACTCCACTTTTCACATGTTTCCTGGTATTCCCGTCTACGCTTCCAAGGATCTTGTGTCGTGGAAGCAAATCGGTAGGTGACCCATGTCTTAATGTGTGTACGGTCCATTGATGGCGATGTAGGAAATGTTATTAGTAGACCGGGACAGGTTATTCTGAAACAATCTGATACTGAAGTCAACCGTATGCCCGATGCTGGAGAGGTAATGCTCGCGACTGGCGGCCTTTTTGCACCAACAATTCGGTATAACAACGGTACTTTCTACGTTGTCTGCACCAATGTTGTGAGAGCGACGGAGAATACTCGCTATGCGCTACAGAACTTTATTGCTACCACGAAGGATATCTGGTCAGGTCACTGGAACGACTTGATCTGGTATGACTTTGATGGCATTGATCCCAGCATTCTGTTCGACGATGATGGAAAGACGTATATCCAAGGCTCCAAGTCGCCTGGCCCATACACCAGAATCGCTCAATTTGAGATTGATATCGCAACTGGCAAGAAGTTATCTGAGGAGAAGATCCTCTGGGAGGGGACCGGCGGTGTTTATCCTGAGGGACCTCATATCTACAAGCGAAATGGCTGGTACTGCCTTATGATTTCCGAGGGAGGAACTCATGAAGACCATATGATCACCATGGCTCGATCCCGCGACGTCTGGGGACCCTACGAGCCATGTCCCGAGAACCCAATCTTAGTCCCGGCAAGCAAAGACATGTACATTCGTCACACAGGCCACTGCGACCTGTTTGAAGACGAGAACGGTCAATGGTGGGGCGTCCTTCTCGGAGTCCGCAGAGACAAAGATGGAAGATACAACATGGGACGAGAGTCCCATCTCACACCCGCAAAATGGACCGATGATTGGCTCCGTCTTGAATCCGTTGAGGCTGAAATCAACACATCCCGACTCGCCAGTGCAACCACAGAGCAGGGATTGACAGCAGTGCAGGGCGTGGATTTCCTGTACATCCGAGACCCGGTTTTGCAGAACTACGAGATTGACAGCAGCACGATCAGTGTAACATCATCGCCCGTCGATCTGTCACATCCCCAGGAATCACCCAGTTTTGTGGGTAAGCGACAGCGTCTACACGCAGGTCAAAGCAGCGCAACATTCAAGATCAACGCATCGTCAAAAGTCAAGACTGGTCTGGCAGTATATAAAGATGAACACCGGTACCTGCGGGTCTTTTACGACACCGCTGAAAGAGCGGTAGTTTACGAATTCGTCAATAACGCCAAGGATCTTAAAAAGACGGAACAGCGCGCTCTGGACAGGGATGTTGACACCATCCAATTCCGCTTTGAGTACACTGAGCAGGAATATCGGGTATTTTACTCAACCGGTACAAATTGGGAGCATATTGCGACGCTTGATACGCTTGATATGACGGGTCCAGACTTTGTAGGTCCCGTTATCGGCGTGTTTGCCTTGGCGCAGGAGAGTGTCACGGTTGAAGTCGTCGATCTGCAGGTAGAGTAGATAAGACCTCCCAATGCCAAGTCAATCAAGATTGAATTCGGCTCGGCTACGCTTTGTATATCCGGTTCCAGCCTATTGGTGTGATCGTGACTCCCAGACACATGATTGTTGGTCCTTGATTAAGCTTTCAGCCTAACATTTAACCGCAAAAGCCCAACAGGCTAATTGACTTCTACGCCCGCGCGTGTCTATCACAATAATTAACCGCTTTTCGCCAATTGGACATGCAAATTCCCCATGGGGATGATTTTCGTTCCTCGTAGCTCGGATAAAGACAGGCGGGGAAAGAAGCTTCAATTTGGGGTAGGCCGAGCCAATCGCTGAGCGTGGAGGTCCGTTGGTTTTAAGCTCTCTGATCGTCGAGTCAGTGATATAAAGATACTGCATCTCCCCACTGTTGATCCCTTCTCTCAGATCTTCACTCACTGGTACTGAGGAACTCTACAGGCATCATGGGTCTTCTCACTCCTCCTCAGCGGACCCAAAAGGTCATTCCTGATAAGCCAGCAAAGGGACATTTCTTCTTTGCTGGCAAGGAATTTGCTCGTGTGCCTTGGTGGAAGAGGTCTAACATGCGCATTTTATACTTTTACATTGTTATTCTCATTCTTACCAACACTGCTAATGGTTTCGATGGTAAACCTCACTGCACCATGGCATCGCTTACACAGTTTGCTAACATGACCAGGTTCTATGATGAACGGTCTTCAGACCCTCTCGTATTGGCAAGAGTACTTCAACCATCCACGTGGTTCCATCCTTGGTCTGTTCAACGCCTCTATGAGTCTTGGCTCTCTTATTGGTCTTTTTGTTGTCCCTTATCTGGTCGATTGGGCTGGCCGTAAGGTCGGTGTGCAGATTGGCTGTATTCTTATGCTGCTTGCTGTTGGTCTTCAGGCTGGAGCTCAAAACTTTGGAATGTTTGTTGCGGCACGTATCATCCTGGGCTTCGGTGATTGCATCGTTCTTGGCTCTGCGCCTCTTCTCATCGCTGAGATTGCCCATCCTCAAGATCGTGCTATTCTTGTGACGCTGAGTGGTGCTTCTTATCACTCTGGTGCTTTCATTTCTAGTTGGGTTACATACGGTACCCTTCAGATCAAGGTATGCCATTCCAGCACAGCGAAGAAGAATGTGTTTACTGACATTTTCTCAGAGCAACTGGTCCTGGAGACTTCCCAGCCTTCTCCAGTCCATCTGCAGTGTCATCATCCTCATCGGAATCTTCTGGATGCCCGAGAGTCCTCGTTGGCTGCTCAGCAAGGACAAGCACGACGAAGCCCTCAGGGTCCTCACTCACTACCACGCAGAGGATGATCCCGAGGACGAATTCGTCCAGCTCGAGTTCAGTGAGATCAAGGCCGCCATCGCACTTGACAAGGAAGTCGGACAGACAGCCTGGGTTGACTTCCTCAAGACTCCTGGTAACCGGAAGAGAATCGGCCTCATCACTGCCCTTGGTTTCTTCAGTCAGTGGAGTGGCAACGGATTGATCTCTTATTACCTCAAGGGTATCATGGATGCTGTCGGTATCACCAAGGCTGAGACTCAGCTTGGTATCAATGCAGGTATGAAGACGCAGGGTTTGATCATCAACACCGCTTTTGCGTTCTTCATTGATATTTTCGGTCGTCGACCTATTTATCTTACCTCGACCATCGGAACTTGCGTCATATTCACTTTCTGGACCATTGTTTCGGCGCGATACGATATTGACCCCAACAAGGCTCTTGGATACGCCTTTGTGGCGCTGACCTTTATCTATGGTCTCTTCTACGATATCAAGCGAGTACCCCGCTCTAACGTACCCTGCATTCAGAGCTAACAGTGTGCAGGTCTGGTCTCATGGCCAACTATACCACCGAGATTCTGCCCTACGGTCTTCGTGCCAAGGGTTTCACATGGCTCAACTTCTGTGTCACCGCCGCGCTCTTCTTCAACCAGTACATCAACGGTATTGCTCTTGAGGCTATGGGCTGGAAGTACTACACCATCTACTGCGTGTTCCTCGGTTTCGAGGTGTATGTCATTTACTTCTTCCTCATCGAGACCCGCTACACGCCCATGGAAGAAATCGCCAAGTACTTCGATGGCGATGCGGTTGATGTTGGTGAGGTTGCTAGGGCTGATATGAAGGAGAGAGGTGTTATGATGACGGAGGTGGATTCCAAGGGACCTCGTGCCACTGAGATTGAGGCTCGTTAGAAGAATGAGATGCCTTGGTGAAGATGAGGCTGATGACAGGACAACGATGGAGGAAGGCAGCATATCATGAGTATGCCCGAGAAAGTATAGATGCTGTTACTTCTTTTAGTAGCAATCCACTTCTCACTGGAGGAATCACACAGCTCCCGATTCAGTACAGTGACAGTCATTAGAGAGGCCAGTGATTAGGTATGGTTCATATTATTGGGCCGAGAGATACCTCTAGCGTCCATCCCAGCAGAATATATATACAAGAAACTTTTTTCATATGAACCATTAAGTCCAGCTTGACACTATCAACACACACAAGAAATAAAAACAGCCTCAGAGCCTCTAGCTCTGTCCCCACCACTCCATCATGCTACTCGCCCGCCTTAAAAGTTGGACTTGGCCTTGGTGACGACACCAGACTTGAGAGCAACGTCCTTGACGACGACCTTCTTGTTGTTGACGCTGGTGACGCGGACCCAGGCAGTGTCGTTGGGCAGCGTGCCCTTGAGGATCCACATGTTGGGGTCGTTGAGCGTGGTGGCCTTCCAGGTCTTGCCGTTGTCGCTGCTGACCTCGACGGCCTTGACGCGGTGGGTGACGTTCTCGATGGTAGCGGCGAACCAGTACTTGGAGGCGCCACCGTGCATGTGGACTTGGAGAGGGGACTTGAGAGGGCAGGCAATCCACTTCCACTTGATACCGTCGACACCGCCGCCGGTCATGCCGTTGGTGAGCTTGCTCCAGGTGGCGGGGGTCATGTCGAGATGGTTCTTGTCGCCGCCAGTCTTGTTGGTGACCTAAGCCAGTTAGACAACGTTGTTCTAGCTGTGTAATTTGACTTACCATGATCTTGAGGGACTTGCCCTTGTAGGAAACCTGAATGCATCCACCACAGTTGGCGCCATCCTTCCAGATATCCTCAGAGACACAGGTAGATCCGTCAATGCCAGCGGGCAGGTCGTAGCCGACAAAGCTGCAGGCGCCCTTCTGCCAGCAGTCCTCCTCAGTGCAGCCATCGCTGTCTCCGTATCGGGTGCCGAGACCAGTGAAGGTAGGGTTCTTGGAAGTAGCAGCGGCGTTGGCAACCGTCGAGGCTGCGGCCAAGAGGGTGACGAAGTAAGTAGAAAAGCTTCCGAACATGTTTGCGTTGATGTTAGAAATGAATGAATGTAATGTAATGTCAAATGTGACGTTTTGTTGTAAATGAATGAATGAAGAAATAAAAGGTTGGAAAAAAATGAATGTGTTGATGAGATTAGATGTTCGTTGGTGGTTAGAGCGTGTCTAGTCTTATATACAAACCCAACATTCCAGAACACCACCAAGTAATTTCCTTGCTGATGAGCTGACTAGGTTCACGATGCTGACGAGGTTTTTACTAAGTGCATCGATCCCTAGCTGTTTCCAATGCCGAACCCCTGTATTTCCCAACTGCCATATCTCCAGAATCGGTCTGGACTCACAGACAAGAGAGGGGGAAATCGAAAGGCACAGGCGTGATGGTTTCATTCAACGATCCGTCTAATATCACGATCGTGTTATTGATGCCGGTTTACCGTGATAGTTTGCGCTACTGTGTTTCAGACTTGACAGTTTTGGCGGGATGCCAATCAAACTAAGCGGGTGCATCCCTGTCAGGCCTCGATAGCCGGCTGCTGCGGAGGGAAGGCCGTTGGACCGTTCGTGCGGCTCCGAAGGGTAGTCTTCTAGAAAATGTGTTTTTATTGGAGCGCAAGGCGATTGTGGATGGTTTAATGTTTTATTACGATACGGGATATAGCTTAGCGTGGGTGTAAGCGAGAGGGTGAACGAGGGTGAACGAGACCAGTAAGAAAAGGAAATCCAAGCCACAGCTGCACTCTAATTGAATGCCGAGTTCCACGGCATAACTTTACCCTGAGACTTAGCATTTGGATGCACTGACTAGATCAAGAAAATGGTTACATCGATCCGATCTCGCAGACTAGCAATACTTTAAGTGAGACAATTTGGTGGATCCACGAAGCATTTGTCTGGATCATACATAAACTGACTCTTCAGAGTAGCATTATATCCACGATTAATACCACATTAAAACCGTTGAGATTCCAATATCCGACAGCATGGCATACGTGGGTCTGGCTGAAACCGCGGCTTGGCAAACGAATTGCCGGGCGATTGAGATCAATTTGCGAGAAGTTTCGGGGTTTGATTGAAGAGCTGAGATGATTTTATCTTTGAGCCAGGGGTTTGGGGGCCTACTGCAGTGATGCGGATATCGCTGCTGACTCTCACAGCATGACACTGTCCCTGACACTGCTGGGCCAGACGTATGCAGACAAAAGGGGACATAACTACAAAGCGTTGAGTGAGTATTGTTAGACATGGAGATGGTGGCTACTGCGGCGTACTGGCGGAATCTCGGGAGTTTTTTGCAGCTACAAGATGCCCAAGTCAATGACAAGCTACGGATATAAACTTCAGGTCGTTTCGTTACAGTGCGACTGGGATGAGCCCGGTCAAGCTTTCTAGCGGCAATATGCAGGTTTCGCATCGCCAAGCACGGATGATGTGCCGGTGTCTTGGTACAATAAACAAACCGAAAATCTATCGAGGCTTCAAAGATGCTGATCGTCACATCCCAAGACAACCTTTGTGAAAGCAAACCTGGATTGATCAACCTGCATAATGAAGAACAGGAATTGGGGTGACTTCAAACTGTTAGGGGGGACTGTCAGGAAGCCCTCCAAGTATGGGCTGATGTAATATACCAGGCACGACTCGTCACCAATGCCGCTTACACAGTAACAAACGATATACTCCGTAATTTCAGCTTCTAAATGACTTCTCCTTCACCTGAAACTTGAAACCCCCTGGCAAGGTTGGGTGACATCCAGTAGCGGGCGCCAAGATGCGAAACGTGGGGTTTTCATCCCAAGTGCTCCCCTGTAGGTTCTGAGATAGTGTCAGCACCAACAGCCTCAGCCGCGAATCTTGGCCAATATCATGCCTTTCTCAGTTCTGTATGATTGAACGGATGGATTCCATGAGAATATCGTTCATGGATGTCTTTATGTCACAGCGAATAATGCAGAATTTGTCACATTTCGCAGGGCGGTCAAGAGAGAATACTGTACTCCCAAAGATTCATTCTGCTAATGGGTAAAGGGTACTGCAAAGTGCAAGCATCAAACAACGCTGGTACCTCACTCTCTATATTGCGTTTTATAGACTGTTCAACCTAAGCAAGTTCTTTCTTTTTTCGCCTTGGGCATAAACTTGCTAATACATTTGCATTATAATGTCTGACTATTGATATTTCGTCATGTCCTCTTCAAAAGTCTCCCTCATCCTCTTTGCAAACTCGTCATCTGCTAACACCTTGACCCCTAATAGTGCAATTCCCTTTGCTGCCTTGATAGCTGCATCGAACGCGGCAGGCTCCCCAGCCGCCCTTGTAAACCCAGGAGCATGCACGTTATCGGTCGGCAGGGTTGGGATGATAAACAGAGGGTGCAGCGATGGACACTCGTAGCTCACGTTTCCAAAATCTGAGCCACCGCCCGAGATGTGTGGATCGCGCATATCGCCGTGGAAGTGGCTATCAAAGTGCCGTGACATTATATCTGTAAACTCGTTGCAGAGGGGCTCGTTGGAGTGAAGGTCGGCGTACGTGTCCATTCTGTCCAAGTGGTCCATCGTCAGCAATTTGGTCATGATAGCGGGCTGGGAGTATACATACACTGACTCGAACTCAATCTTGCACCCAGTCGCAAGGGCAGCTCCCTTGAAGCAGTTTCGCACCCGTTCCTGAAGCTTCTCGTTCTCTCCCAGAGTGAGGGTACGCACGCCAACCTCCACTACGCTTCTGGCCGTAATGATGTTAGTCATTTGTCCTCCCTCCTTGATGTAAAGATTGAGGCGGTCTGTAGGTCGAATTTGCTGGCGTAGCATGCTGATCGCGCTGTAGGTTAACGACGCGGCATCTAGCGCGTTAATACCATTCCATGGGACTACACCAGCGTGGGCCGGCTCGCCAGTGAAGATACCTCGGAAGATGGCCACCGACCTACCACCGACGGCCGCAGCGCCATCAGGTTGAGGAATGTCCAAAGGCGTGCTCGCATGAACCATGAGTGCAGCATCGACATCCTTAAATGCGCCGGCATGAATGAGCTTGATCTTGCCACCGCCGCCCTCCTCAGCAGGGCAGCCTAGGATGCGTACTCGACCTGGGGCGCCAGATTTCTTAAGAGCAGCAGTGATGCCGAGAAAAGAAGCTATAGAGGCGGCGGCAATGAGATTATGTCCACAAGCATGACCGACGCCCTCAAGGGCATCATACTCAGAGCAGATGGTCACCAGGCGACCCCCCTGGCCGCACTCTGCGACAAAAGATGTGTCAAGGCCATAGGCATGTTTTTCTACGGCGAAGCCAAGGGACTCCAAAAGAGCTGTGATGTTATCGTGGGCTTTAAACTCTTTGAAGCATAGCTCGGGGTTGCTGTGTATCTGTAATGCGTCAGTTGGTGCCTGGTGCAAGCAACGAGGAAAGCCATACCGCACTGTTGATCTCTCGTAGAGGACCTAATTGCTGATCGACGGCATTGAATACTACGTCAACGGTGCTCTCGCTATCCACTACAGTGACAGCTTCTGTCTCCGTGCCAGGATTAGTGGTCTGTGTAATAGTGGTAATGGTAGCCATCTTATCGAGCACGTATTGCTATACTCGAGGAGATAATGGGTAGTCGACTTCTGAAGGGGTTGAGTAGCTGCTCCGTGGTCTGCTGAAGCAGGAGCCAGGTTTAGATATGAATACCAACAACAACATTCATTCAAGCTTGTCTCCAACATCCAGAGGAGACATGATGGCCTGGTTATCGCGACCGACCTCGGTGACAGACGGCATCATCGTCTAAAGGATCCACCGTCATTAGCTTCGTCGTCTAAAAAGGCACTCACTATGTGGGCCTTGGAGACCCGCTCACCCAGATACCAGAGATTCCAATCTAAGGCCTCTTCGATCGAGGGTCGTTTCAATTCCCTTAACTTGGGATTCCGGAGCCGCCATCTCACCAAATGCCGCTGGTATCCGAGGCCATCTCATAGAGTGTCCAGATACTGAGGTGCTGCCCCATCCGAGAACGCCTATCTAGCGCATGTTCGAGCACCAATCTCCAGCGCGGCCCGAGCTTGCTTATGATCCAGTCCTTGTGAATCGGATTATTGGTCTCAATCACAGCCGCCAGAAGTGCTCTTCGTAGATCTTTGAGATGGACCTTGCGTATGGTATGCTGGGCTGCCTGCATAAGCATGGCCAAAATGTCCTGGATCCTACCTTCAGGCATGCCTGCGCATCGGTAATATATCATTTTCCACGCGTAGTAGATAGTCACGAATACAGCAGCGCTTTCAACGAGATCGCATGCCGAGTTCGGATTGTTATCGTCAGGCATCGTGATCATCTGGAACGTAGCAGAAAAGTCCTGCGATAAGGTAGCATCAGCACGTGTCAAAATGGTCAAGTCCTGAGTGACATCTTACCGTCTCTATGAGATCTAGCTTTTCCTCTATCTCCGCGTTCCTCGCTTCTGATATTGGTGTGCCTGAGCATTCATCTGACATGGCTGACCACCCAAACTCTGTAATCTGAAACTGAAGCTGGAGCATGCGAACTAGCATGTCCAGATGTTGAGCCGAGAAGACGTCGTCCAGGCGTTGCTCAGTTGGGTACAAAGTACCCCAGTTCAACTGCAATGCTGGCCGCGAGACCACGCATAGTCGTCGGAGAAGTTTCGGACAGTCCGACATGTATCGCGCAACTTCGCCAGCGCAGCGGTACCCCATCGCATAAACATCCTCTCTGTAAACCCATAAAAGCAAGCGACACAAGAAGCTACGCATAGAAGGGGTAATGGCCGTAGCTGCCTCCGCCGTCGATCTGGTCAACACATCCCCTATCGATGAACGTTGGAGATAGCGCACGACAGCCTGACTGAGCTTATGCAGCTCTTCCTTATCAACAGCGCGCTGATGGGTGAGGTAGACATAGTGGAAGTAGAATGTAGCGAGGGTCTCAACGTGGTCGACAGGCTTGGCTGATTGCCGTATGGCTTCTCGGAATGCCGACGATGCCCGAGTGAAGTGAGATAACGCCAGCGCTGATTCTTGTCCACTAATAGTAAGACCCTCGGTATGGCGTCGAGCATCGAGATCTTGAAGCGCGACAGCAACTGCGTAGCGCAAAGCGATGGCGCTGTAAGAGACTTTCTGTAGTAGGAGCACGGGGAAAGACCAGGCGGCGGCCTTGGAGGTATGTACCAAGCAGAATCCATTCTGATAGTGGCCCAGAGCCTCATATTCCTCATGGCCAAGAGTGAGGCTGTCATGACCTAGAATATGGATCTGCGACAAACCAATGTGGTTGACAAGGGACAGTGATCCTGGAGATAGGTGCGTCACGAGGTAATCCATGGCTCCTCCATTATCTGAAAAGGGCGCAGTTCCTAGAGCTGATGATTCTGGGGAATGAGCCCATGCAGGAGCCGATACCAGACTGACGGGAAGAGATGGGCCTAGCACCTCGTCTCGCGGAAAGTCTCGCGGAAACTCAGACGATGTGGTATCGCCAGGTAGATCATCCAAGACAGCCCAGCTTGGTGGATCCTGGCTGTTGCTCGGGGGGCTGCGCTCCTGAACAGTAGATCCATTGTCATCAGCTACAAGACCTCTTCTAGGTTGCGAGATCCGAGGTGATGACGACGTTGAGGATGATCTCCTGGAAAACGAAACGGCCTCGAGAGTCCAATATGGACTACAGCTGAGATTCAGCCGCTCGCACCGCCGGCAGATGGGTAGGCGCTCATCACACTTGACATGCTTTGCCCTACACGTGAGACACCCTAAAGTAATGATAGACGTGCAAGGTCAGCATGACGGCCTCAGCAAGGTTATCGCGGGTTCGCTGGGATACGACTCTCATTTGCTCAACGCACCTAATCTAGATCGCCCTTTGCTCTGTCGTTTCCCCACCTTAATTAGCTGTGCTGAATCACCGGGCATCGTTCTCGTGCTACTGGATGATCCAGGTCGTCGTCTCGCGTCGTCTGAGAAAGGTGGAGAGGTGATTGTTGACGACGACGACGCCTGCCAAGCAGAACAGGACTCTCCTTTCAGCCGGAGAGCGCAGACGAGGAGGAAGGGGTTGTAGGTAGAAAGTGGTGGCGTGACGAGCAGCGCTGGGGAATTTGGGTTGCTGGGCTTAAAAGGTGGATCAACTGGCGATGTATCGGGTTAACCGGTCGTCTCCGATTACACCGGCTATCAGCTTCGTCGTCTACGGTTATCCAATCTAACCAATCTGACCAGTCCCCGTCTGACTAGCTAGTCGATTTCGATAAAGGTGGTGGGGTAATTGATAACCGAGTTCCTGTTTAGTTTATCGTCTTGTTATTAGTGTGAATTGGTGGAAATGCTTGAGCTAGTCTAGTCTAGTGTCGCTTCGGATGCCATGTTGCTGGGATAGATATAAAGGATCCTACTCCACCTGTCAAGCAATTGCTCGTCAGTATATCTCACTAAGTATATTGAAAGACAGCCAAGTGCCAACTGTCACGTTTAACAGCCTAATATAGAAGACAACATGGCTTCGCATCCGGACACTAAACCTGAGGTTGCTGATGAGAAGGCTTTGTCGGTGATGGAACAGGATGATGATCTCCCTATCTCCAACGTTGAAGAACAGCCTCTAGTCAGGAGAATTGACCTTCAGTAAGTATCTGAACAGTGCACTTCAATACCGAATCTACGGATTCCTATCCACTGACACAAAACCCGCACAGCCTGATGCCTATCCTCATAGCTATCTACATACTGCAGTATCTCGATAAAAGCAGTTTGAATACTGCCTCTCTCCTCGGTATCATCCAGGATACGGTATGTTGGTGTTGATCAGAGACGAGTTCAGGATTGTGACCACTGACCAAATTGCATTGTAGAAATTAGTTGGCCAGGAGTTCCCCTGGCTTAATAGTGCTTTTTACTTTGGATATCTCGGCGCCACATATCCCGTCTCCGTACTTCTCGTGAAGTTCCCGATTGCCAAGGTCCTGGCAGCGTCCATGTTAGCTCACTTTCCCCCCTAACCACCGGCCAAGGCTAATGATTGTAACCCAGTTTGATATGGGCGGTGGTTCTCGGCTGTCATGCTGCTGGCGAGAACTTCGCAGCCCTTTGCTCCTTACGTGTGCTTCTTGGTGCTTTTGAGGCCACCATCAGTCCTGGCTTCACACTCATCACAGGACTCTGGTACAAGCCGTCAGAGCACGCGAGGCGTCATAGTCTTTGGTTCGTCGGTAACGCCGTAGGATCTCTTATCGGCAGTCTGATTGCTTATGGCTGCACCTTCATCACTGGCGGACCTCTCGCCCCATGGAGAGTAAGCCTAACTCTTGTCGAACTTGTTTTCTCACGAAAGACTGACCGGGCGTTTTAGTGGTTATTTATCGTTCTCGGCATAATCACAGCTGGCTGGGCTGTCGTTCTGTACATCTGGCTTCCGGACACGCCAGCGACAGCCAGATTTCTCAACCCAGCTCAGAGAATCTGGGCGACGCAGAGGCCTCAGGTGGCTCAGAGGAGTTTCAAGACGAACAAGTGGTCAAATGCACAGCTATTCGAGGCGATGCTAGACCCCAAGACGTGGTTTCAGTTCTTTGTCATCACTACAGTGTCCCTGAGTAATGGAGTAATTGCTAACGTAAGTCATACACGCAGCTGACGCTCAACAACTCTACCATACGATACACTTGGACTCTGCTAACACACATGTCACTCTTATAGTTCAGCTCTCTAATCATCAGAGGCTTGAACTTTGACTCCCGACAGTCGCTCCTCCTCGGCATGCCTCTAGCTGCCTACAATGTGATCATCGTTCTCCTTTCTGCGTCGCTGGCCGAGAGATTCCGCAAATCTCGTTGTCTCATTGCCGCAGGTGCCTCGGCTCTTTCACTTGTGGGCACCATTCTGGTCCGTCAGCTGCCATCCACAAACAATGCTGGTCGATACATAGGACTCATCCTGTGCGCGTCGTGCGCTAACGTATTCCCCATGATGCTGAGCCTCGTCTCGAGCAACGTGGCCGGCTTCACCAAGAAGTCAACGGTCAACGCTGTCTTCTTCCTTGGATACTGTGCAGGCAACATTGCTGGTCCACAGTTCTTCATTCCAACAGAGGCACCAAAATACGGGGTAAGAACAGATTCTCGCCCTTTCTTGTTCGTATGAAGGCTGACTCATTTCTGTGTGTTCCTGCAGACGGCTTTTACTGCCTTGTTTGTGATCTTCTGCATCCTCATCGGTTTGATTCTTGCCTTCAGGCAATATCTGGCCTGGGAAAACGCGAGGCGCGACAAGGCTCAGGGAGTTTACATTGATGCTGAGTCACCAGATAGAGATGCCATGCCCGGTGCGGTGATGGAGGCGACTGACGAGACGGACTTTGAGAATAAGAATTTCCGATACTACCTCTAGGCTCTAGCAATCACGCGACCGCAAAGAAATACGTTACTTTTTTCTTGAAGCTCCAAATAGCTAATTAAATCCCATTTCTCGAACTAGAAGATTATGAAGACCTTTTATCCACCCCAGACAAAAGCTCTTGGACGTGTCCCCAATTTTGACAATACCGCTGTAAATAGGCGCGAATAGCAGGCATCTCATACGCGGCACGAATATCTATCCACCACCTACATTCACGTGCCCTAGTGTACCATAAGTATAAGAGTGTAAGAGCTATCGGATCTTTCCCCTCCAGTAACGTTTTAAGTTCGCCCCGTATCTTGGTTGAGACCTTCATCGCTTTGCCGAGTGTAGTCTGGCCAGCAGGTATTGCTAGCATTTCAGACAAGCCATGTGCAACCCTGAAATAAGGATTGTTATCTGCCGTAGAGGTTTCCTCAAGCATACAAAGCTGTCTTATCTCCACTGGTACACCATTAGTCCCTTTGATGGGCAGGGACTGATGCATTGTAATAAAGGTGTCAGCCATTGGCGTGAAGACACTCGATGCTCGTAGTGGATTTAATAATTGCCATAGTCTCATCTTTCCCGCTCCAAGTCGTAGCCATTCAAGGTCTGAAGAGTCTGGCGGTCCAAGAGGCCAGGCTTCCTCCAAGGCACCCGTATTAATGGACGAGAAGGCTAGGATGCTAAGCATACCTGCTGCAGCCCAGATAGGATCCTTGTGCTCTTCTTCGATAGGTTGGCCCAGAGATTTGTTAAATAATGAAGTGCATTGAGACCAGTGGTAGGTTTCGCAAAATGTTCGACGACGGGATGGCGTTACTCCAAGGTAGCGATCATGGACAGCCGTCACGGCCAACATACCATGCAATAAGAATGGGCGCTGTAAGATAATTGTAAGCTGCTCAATTACTACTCTGGGTTTGTACTCACTTCGAAAGATAGCTCCATTATATGGCCATTGTTTGTCTCTACAGTCTCCAACCAGCCGAGAGACTGCAGAGTTCTGCTTTGGAAACGACTGAAAAGGTCTTGGTCATGAGCATTGAGCATGTAGAAAGTTGTCTCATCTGCTACCCATACACAGCTACCCATAGACCACTGTGGTGACGGACTTGTAAGCTGCTTTGGCATGTTCTTGGTTTGTTCCTCGGGAAGTGACTGGAAATCCGGTATGTTGAACCCAAAGTTGCATATGACGCCATAAATCCGACACTTGTCGCAGCATGGCCTCGTTTCATCACACTAAGTCGTCGAAGATAAGTCAACAAAGGTTTAAGAGATAGACTCTCCTCATTGACTCACCTTCACCTTCCTCAACTTGCAGTTCCGACAACCGAATCGCGACTTTCGACCACGTTTTATTCCCCCCCTCTTGGTGACTGCAATAGTCGGTGAGCTCATAATTGATAAATATTTAATAAACTACTTGACAGGCTCTCGTTCGCTGTTCAAGGTCTTGATGTTGATAAGCCGATAAAGAATGTTCTTGCGGACATTAGCACGTTCTTAAATCCGACCGATCAATAACTCCGCCCGGACTAGACTTGATGTGATCTCCATTTATAACAAGCAAATTCCCACTAACCTCTGCTCGGGATTGCGCCATTTTGATTGGTCGACGATAGTTCCACCTGTGATCAAAATGTCCCAGTCAGACAAGAGAAGCATCTTGAACCAGGTGTCTTTACGTCTAAATTGGTATCGTCTTTCGTCATGAGAATAGTTAACGGTGCCGGTAATCCGAGAGAGCTGAGAAGTATGGCAGAAGAGATAATGAATATAAAAGCAGTTCATGAGCCACGTCTTTTGTTCTACACGAGACAGTGCATCCTATTCTAGTCATCGAAATTCGTAAAGAAACAGTCTTTCAATCATCTACCAAGCTGGTCTTTCATTTTTAAGGCTATCCATTCAAACTACCTATCATCATGCGTGTTTTCGTTACAGGCGCAACAGGCTTTGTCGGCTCAGCTGTCGTCAAAGAGCTACTAGCTGCCGGTCACTCTGTCCTCGGCCTAGCCCGCAGCGACAAAGGAGTCGAACAGCTCAAGACTCAAGGCGCCGAAGCCCTTTTTGGCACAATTGAGGACTTGGAAGTTCTCAAGAAGGGTGCTTTTGTGTCTGATGCCGTCATTCATCTGGCATTCGTGCACAACTTTGCCGATTTTCTTGGTTGTTGCGTCATTGACCGTGCGGCCATCACTGCTATGGGCTCTGCTTTGGTTGCAGCCGGCGGAAATCGTGCCATGGTCATTACTTCCGGTACCATGATGCTCACTCAGGGAAAGCTGGGCTATGAGGATGACGAGCCTGATATGAGCCACCCATTTGCGGCAGCTCGTGGGGCGTCTGAGAAAGTGTGTCTCGATTTTGCCAAACAAGGTGTTCGAGCTAGTGTTGTTAGACTTCCTCCTACGACGCATGGAGCCGGAGGAGTTTCTGGGTTCATGGGCCCGTTTGTGAACGTTGCACTTGAAAAGGGCGTCTCTGCATATGTTAGCGAAGGCCAGAATCATTGGTGCGCTGGTCATCGTGATGATGCGGCTAGACTGTACCGTCTGGCTATCGAAAAAGCAGAGCCTGGGTCCGTTTTCCATGCAGTTGCCGAGGAGAGTGTCACCGTCAAGGATATTGCTACCGAAGTTGGCAAACAATTGGATATTCCTGTTATCAGCATTCCTCCAGAGAAGGTGCCGGGGCATTTTGGCTGGTTTCATTTCGGAGCTTTGGCTGACAACATTGTCTCGAGTGCAAAGACTAAAGAGGTGTTGGGCTGGAACCCTACTGGACCCACGGTTCTAGAGGACATCGAGGCTATAGTCGACTTTACGAAGTCTCATTCAGGCCAGTGGTAATATATCATAAGAAAGACCTAATACCACTTTTTACTTTCTTTATATTCTGTTTCTGTACTCCGTATCACTCGCGGCGTGGTCTAAGATTCCATGATAAAAATAGTAGGGGCTTTGCAGAGACTATTGAGTTCACTAGCCATTTCTGTAGGCTTAGCGCACGCTTAAATCAATAGTTCCAACTCGAATCTTCAGCCCAACCAAACATTGGCCAATTGATAATAAATGATAAGTGTGCTTTTTCTCTTCCCCTTTGCTTCAGCTTCCTCTCTTCTTCCCCGGCCGTATTTATTGTCATTCATTTGGCGCTTCTGCTTCACTTTTTAGTCACTCATTACCATTGAAATTCTGCTGCGATGCGTGTTTATACGACCCTCGGGCCTCTAATCCTCAGCGCTGGGCTTTGCGCCGCTCGCGTAAGTGCCTGAGACGACGCGTTGTCACCGAAGCTCATTTCATTGCTAGGCTTGCGCGCCCCATCCCTGATCAACTACAGCAACGTCGTCATGGTCCAGCGAAACAGATACTGCGACGGCTGTAGGATCTGCCACTACGGAAATCGCAACGACGACTATTTCTGGAGTGGCTTCTGAAGAGACTACCACTACTGCTGAGTCTGACAGCGCCGTCGAAACCTCTGTGACGGTGTCGACTTCGGCTTTTGAGACGTCGACTTTGGAGTCATCAACCTTGGAGTCAACAACCTTGGAGTCAACAACTTTGGAGCCATCAACTCTGGAGTCATCAACTTTCCAAGTTTCGGCATCTGCCGCTGAGGCATCAACTCACACGACCGAAGACGCAACGACTACCACAACATCTCCCGCCCAGAGTGCACAGACTCCACCCAACGGCGACTTCGAGGATGCTACCCTCGCACCTTGGGAGAGTACCGGAACCACAGCAGTCCTCGTCCGGGGCCTTGCTTGCTACCAAGGGAGCCAGTGCGCGTACGTACCCCCAGCATCCCCGTCCACCTATTCCTTCTGCTAATCAGCCACAGAGAACTCCCAGGACCGTACAGTGGAAACACAGCCAAAATCTGCCAGCGGGTAGACATCCAACAGGGCTACGAGTACACTTTCGCGGCACATCTCGCACAGAGCTGTACTTATTACGACGCTGGAGAGAGAGAGGACCTCGACTGCGACGACAACATCAACTCGGTTAAACTCTCCATCGATGGGGTGTTTGACTCGGAAGTGCAACCAGTCAGCTGGGATAACCAGTACCATGAATACTCCAACACGTTCCAATATACTGGCCCAAGTATTGACTCGACTGATCTTTGCGTTTCTGCCATTGTCAACCAGGGCGAGAGGTACGACTTCCTTGTTGATAGCGTTTCTCTCGTGCGCGGGAACTCGGTACTTGTCCCCGAAGAGACTTGAGGCGCGAGATGTGGTACAATGGGCGTCTGATAGAAGATTTATGATTGATTGAGCTATGGCTTCTGGCTTTCGAACAGAGCCATGCTTGATGTCACATATTACCCAGCATCGTTCACTTTATATCCTCCGAAGCAAGTTGCATTTTATACTATAATGCAAACATATTTCCAAGAAATGGATTCCGTCAAAGTCGCAGCTTCCTGCCAGATCCTCTGCCAGACTTGATGTCCTCGTTTGCAGGCATGTTGCTGTCATTACAGAGTAGACTCCCCTAGAACAATTTTAGAATCCCCGTACATATCGGAAGCTTGGCAGGTTTCCCCGTGGGGTTTCAGTGCGACTCTAAGTAATTTCGGGGTTCTCTAGAGATACAAATCCCATCCCCAAAAAGTCTATAGAACTCCGACAGACGTCATTTAATAAGATACGTCGCTTAATGTAGGCATACGTGAACACAGGAGGGATTTGTCTCCACAAGAACGCCCTGGACACTGACGAGAATCTGTTCGGGGTCAGAGAGCTAATTAATTCTTGTCATGGATAATCGAGTTCTGTCTCGACGTCATTAGTGTTCGCAATGATCTGGATGTCTCTCTATCCTTGCGGCCTAAGAGAGAAGAAAATCGATGTTGCTAACAATGCCATGGGGCCCAAGATTCCTTGATCTGTTAATCCAATAGTAAAGTTGTATCTCAGATGCGTTTTTGCTTACTTATTTCAGGCACAAAGGTCCATTCACACTCGACCATGTTATCTGGGGCTGAGATACCCTGGTCTGCAGCCCATCTCAACTGCGTTAGAAGCGCGTCAAATGCAAGGTACACATCATGAGTCCCCACAACTTCACAGATTTCATCAATCTCGACTTCAATAGCCTCTAAACTATTGGCATTAGCGCGGCGCCAACGATTAATTCGCGTCCAGCCGACACCACCTTGGGAGCGTTTTTGACAATCTGACAGCGGGCTTTAAAAAGGAGGCGCAACGCCCTCAAAAACGTTGAACCTGTTCTGCACCCTCACACTCGCTTACTTACGCTGTCTCAGCCACTTCCACTCTTTTAACCAATCGCTAAAATGGTTCGCTGTTCTATTATCGCTGTGGCTTTTGCCATTCTCGGAACCGAAGCTGGCCCCTGTCGACCCACGACCATGACGAGCGTTGCTGAGGCCTCTTCGACGATCGCTTCCGATACGACGGTTACTTCTTTGGCTACCACTGCAACAACTGCCCTTGTGGAGACGACTTCTACCGTCTTGGAAGATACCACCTCCACTGCCGCCGCAGAGAGCACGACGACAACCGAAGAGCCCGCCTGCGTCGAAACCCAAGTCATCGTCAACCCCGGCTTCGACGACAGCGCCAACAGTAAATCGCCTTGGTCCGGCGACGGCTCGATCATCACCGACGGCGCCAATTCCGCTCCCAATGCCATGTAAATCCCACTCCATCTCTCCATCTCACCCGCGCTAACAGCACTCCAGCTCTTTCGTCTTCTCCAATGGCGGCGGCGACGCGCAGATCTCCCAGACTCTGACCAACCTCGACGGCACCTACCGACTGAGCTACAACTGGGGCGTTTTCTCCGGCGTCAACGTCGGCGCTGGTTTCGGATGCAGCATCATTCCCAAGATTGGAGACGATGTCCTGCCTGGTGTATATCCCGACGGGTACAGCGGTTGGACTGCCGAGAGCAAGACCTGGTCAAGCGGAAGCAGCGCAGTTGCTCAGGCTGACCTGTCGCTTGTTCTGCAGTGCTCTGGAGAATATGATCAGCTTACGATCAATGTTGATGACATCACTTTCACCAAGCTCTGCGGTCCTCAGGCTAGTTAAGTACAGTGCCAAATTATCCAGGCGAGGAGGCTCTAGATGATGAACCTTGTGTCACACATTAATTACTCGCGGGAGGATTTAGCTCTGCGTGATATATTCTTTTCGTTTTTAGACGGAGTGATGCTGTCTAGATAAGCTACTACTATACATATTATATTAATGAATGACATGAGTCCATCCACGCGCCCGCGCAGAACATCAGCTCCCTCGGATCTAAAAAGCAGCCAAGAATTATATAAATCTCTCCGTAGGAATGCCCAACAGGAACCTATCCACTCAGTCCTTACGTCACTCAGCGGCTGTGAATAGCCTAATTGAGCCGCACAGCTGACACCGTCTTACCGCCAAGACACCATGATCTCCCACTGCAAGATCTCGATATATGCTTTTCTACAGCTTTACAGCCCCACGTTATGTGATTTGTAAGTCATAAACGCAATAAATCTTAATGGACGTGGGAGGTAGAATCCAAGAAGGGTAATCGAAGCCCTGATCCGGCGGTTTTCCTGCCATCGTCTTATGCCTCCTTCGTCATCTTCGAACGCCATAAGCTTACGTAGGATATCTCATGACTTGGACTTGCGGGGGAGTAAGCAATATTGTGAATCATCGTGATTCCTTTGTCCGCGGAGAAGGCTTAATATTGCTCCGTTAGCCGTTGGTCTTCAGAGGACTTGATTTAGTATAAATGTAATAAGTAGCTCATTGCCTGCTATTCCCGTTTTCTCAGTCTGGTCGAAGCTCAGTCGATATGAAGCTATTTCAGTATTATCTCTACACATCTCTCTTTGTGGGGAGCTCCCTCGCAGCTCGTGGAGGCCACTGTCCCCCTCTTGGTCCAGTCCTTCCTGCCCCTGTCCACCCTTCCAACCATGCTTCAGTCAAGTCAGCAGTAGCTGCTATCGAAGCAAGACTGGAAGAAGAGACAGCTACATACAACCTGTCCTCCATAGCAGTCGCCATAAAATCAACCTACGAAGATGACTACATGTTCGAATTTGCCAATACGCCCCCAAATGTTGATCCTCGGGGAGTTGACAAAGTAGACTCCGACACTGTCTTCCGCTTGGCCAGTCTCTCCAAGGTATTTCCCGTCCTGGCTCTGTTGAAACTTCACAAGGTTGATCTTGACGATGCTGTTACGAAATACGTTCCTGAACTTCGGGCACTGAACAAACAAGCTCGAAAGCAAGATGCTGTTTGGGCAGTTGACTGGGATGAAGTCACCATCGGGGCCTTAGCATCTCACATTGGCGGCATACCAGCTGACAGTAAGTATTCATCTAAACAAGAAGTGATGTTGTGCTAATATGTCTAGTGGTAACTGATGTCGAGCCTTATGGAGACTGGACAAAGCTTGGCTACCCGCCACCTGATCCATCCAAAAGCCTCAACTGCTCAGGTCTTTTAGGTCTTCCAGAGTGCACCAAAGAAGGTAAGATCCCATACCTTCCACGATTGAAACCTGCTAATTAGACAGATTTCTTTGCAAGGTTCGGCGAGAGGCCTCCTGTGTACGCACCCTACGCCGTAAACCCCGTTTACTCAAACGTGGGGTTTGCCATAATGGGATGGGTCATTGAGAAGGTTAGTGGTATGCCTTCCGGAGAGTTCATCAAGAAGGAAATCTGGGTTCCTGCTGGAATGAAACACACATTTGACTCAAAGCCCGATGACTCCTTGGGATTCATCCCTGTTGATGATGAGTGGTGGAACGCAACCCTTGGCTATGGTGATCCGTAAGTTGACCCAGCTGCTATACATCGGGTGACAAACATTGACCAGTTTAACTAGTGCCGGAGAATATTACTCTTCTATTAATGATATAATGGCTTTTGGGGACGCTATCCTCAAGAACAAGCTTCTCAGTCCCGCTGAAACAAGAAAGTGGCTGAAGCCTGCTACAAGCACTTCATCAAGAGGTATCTTACTTGGAGAACCCTGGGAAATATTCCGTGCCGATAACGTCACCAAAGACGGCCGCCTCATTGAGTTCAACACTAAAGCCGGCGACATCACCACGTACCACTCGCTCATGGTGTTGATCCCAGACTATAACCTCACCGTCACCCTTTTCAACGCTGGTCCGGAGGTCAGTGGTGGTCTTCTCCAAACTCTCTTCACAGGAATCGTAAGGGAATTGCTTCCCGCGGTGGAAGAGGCTGGCAAGGATGAAGCGGCCAAAGTCTATGGTGGTACATACACTGACGCTAAGACGAACTCTACTCTCACTCTCTCAGTCGATGATGAGCCTGGATTCCACATCACGAATTGGACAGTCAGAGGTGTTGACATTGCGGGCACGTATCTCAGCATTGGGCTACCACCGACATTTCCGACACCACCGGGTGAAGTCCGCTTCCGCTTGTATCCTACTGGCCTGCAGAGTGATACAGAGTCATCCTGGCGAATGATGTTCACTGCTGGGTCTGAGAAGGATAACGAGGAAGCTAATGCGCTCTTGGCCTGGCCTGATGGGAACTGTAATACCTGGGCGTCCTTGGATCGCATTGTGTACCAGCTGTTGTCGCATGACCATTTTGTGTTTACGGAGGCTGGGAAGGATGGTGATAGGAAGGTTGAGAAGCTTGAACTTGTTGGTTATAGAGTTGAGTTGCAGAAGGACGGTTAATACCTCACAATTCATGATTACAGTTGGGGGTGAGACTGGCACCTACGTAAGCAACAGAAAGACGTGACTTCGCAAGTAAATAGTCTCAGCCGTTGACAGAACACTGTATTAAGAATTCGAACGTGCATAGCTACTTCGTGTATGTATAGGTAACGATGAGGATAGGTTGACGGACTTTCTTTTTCATCCATTCATTTTCCCGGACGAACTAATAACGTGTCTCACAAGTTCGATTCCTCGTGTATTCCAATACCATCAATAGTTCCTCCATTAAGAGGACGGATAATCAACCTCGATAGGCTGAGAAGGAACCAGCGTAGCCAGCGACAGATGCGGCCATGTCAACCCACAGAAGTTAAGGTTCACAGTCTGCGAGTACTGAATCTGTGTATAAGTCACAGGAATCGTCTTAGGGCCGGTGACAGGACCAGGAGGCGTGACAGAGAATGTCGGCAGCGGAGGAGTTGTCTTGCCCTGAATCGGCTTATAAGCTGGCTGCAGAAGAAGAGGCTTCCCTGGAGTGTAGTCCTGAACCGTGATCTCGGACTCGACAATCTCAACCCAGAATGTAGACTCCATCTGCACGGCGTTTGCATTAGGACCTTGGTTACTAGCTCCGACGAGGAAAGCGATGTTTGCTGTTCCGCCGCCTGGTGTTGGAGCAAACTGGGTAGAGACTGTGAAAGTGTTGGTCTTGGTGATGTTGAGCTGACTGTTGATGTCGAGAAGGATTTGAATCGGATTGTTAAGAATCTCCTGGGTGATGGATCCTTGCTCAATGAAGAGACTGAGATCCTGAGGCAGACGCGCTGTGTTATTCGAAGAAACTGTCTGACTGGGCATGATCTGAAGATCCTTAGGGTTTCCAATGACAAAAGGATTAATTGGTCGCGGGCCAATGTCCGGTGGTCCATCCGTTACGACTGGAGGATTACCCTGTGCGTTGACGGTAGTTCCATGAGGAATAGATCCGAGCCTAACAAGCGTATTTCCCTCCACTGGATTATTATTAGTCTGAGGAACATTCAACCAAAACCCAGTCTCAGTGTGAATACCCGTCTTGGCACCATCACCTCTCCCCGTAGCAGTATTGGTAACATCATTCACAGTCTGAAGATACGTGACACCATTGATGATAATGTCATTCTGCTGTTCAAGACCACGATTCGGAACTTTTCCCAACGGGTTAGAGAATACGAGATCCTCTTGCGTCAAATTGAGTTCGAGAACTGAGACATTGGGAGGAGTGGGAGGGGCAGGGAGGACGGGATTGGTGAAGGTAGTGGTGGTGGGGGCGACGGAGTTTGGGCGGAAGATGTTGTTGAAGCCAGTTCCTGTCCAGGCTCCGGTGAAACTGGCCAAGATACCCAGAGGAGGATCGGGGTCGTCTTTTGGAGGTGGAGGGGTAGGATCGAAGTTGACTTCGTCGTATTGGAAGTCTACGCCGAGATGGATACCAGCACGCGATGATTCTTTGGGGGCCATTATGCGTGTTGTGTAGTTTGAAGGGTGTCTGAGTGTATTGAGATTTTTGGACTTGGCGAGGAATATGGATTTTGTCTAGGAAACACTCACTGAATTTATACTCGCTCAAAAGTAGTTGATTGTCCTCGCGTTGCCGGTCTACCGGTTTAGACACATACCGACACTTATCTAACTTTCAATGTGCACTTCACATGCCTCTTCACAGACGATCTATACCACAGCAGTACAAGCCTACCTCAATAGCTCACTGAAAGTAGTAAGGCTCTTCATCCGTTGCCATACTACTCAGTGTTAAGGTTCATCTTACAAGCACAATTGCCCATCCAACGTGACGCGGCAGAAACACGCTAAGAACTTCACATATCTCAATCCAGATGATCTACCCATATTTACGTTCAGTGGCTGACTGAAAACGGTCTCAGCATCCCCTCCTAACCAATAGCTAGCGTTGAATTGACAAGCTGAACACCTGTGGCTTACCGGCACGTCAACTTCCCCGCAGCCAAGAATGAGGGCGCGATCGAGTTCTTGCGCATACGGCCCGTCCCGGTTAGTCTAGATCGGCCATACTTTAGTGCGCTTTGCCATGTTGGTCTGTCACATACCTGCAATGAAACGGGCACTCAACCAGTTTTTACTTGTGATTATTGGTGCTTGGCATGTGAGATGGGAGCTGAAAATATTAGAATGCAAGTGTGCAAGAAGAGGCGGAAGATGCATTCTAGTTGTTCAGCTGAGTGGTTTGGCTACCTGTGCGATATTTCACATGTGAGATGGCCTCTCATGGAGGTTTGGGTAATAGGTATGAAGAGAAAACGTCATACCAGCTACCTTTGTTCCGTATCGCCCAACAACTCATCACAAAAGGCTACTTCTACTCTCTTTGATGACTATTGCCATCAAAATGGAGCCATCCTTCCAAGGCAACCAATTCTTCCCCGGCACAGCTGCCTACAATCGTGCCAACAACATCTACGCTACGTCAACCTATGGTGTGAGCCGCGACATGAACCCTTCCGAGATCCTCCAGCCCGCAAGTGTCGAGGATATTCCAAACGTCGTAAAAGCTGCTGCCCAAATGGGCAAGCCCCTTACCACCAGACTATAGTTAATATCGAGGTATACTGAAAGGGCTTTTTGAGATAAACCACATATTAAAAGATCGAAAGTAAGCAAAGAGTGCAAAGCAGCTAGAAGCTAAAAAAGTCCGATATCGCATGACCCACATCATTGAATGCATCTCCAATATCGTTTCCTACGTCCGTAACCACATCGCCGGCATCATTAAAGAAACCTCCGACATCGTTCATAGCATGGTCAACAGCAAATACAACGTCGTCAGCTACATGACCGACTGCACTACCGGCATCGTTGAACACCGATCCGATATCACTCATAGCATCGTCAACCACTAATACGACGTCATCGGCTGCATGGCCGACTGCACTTTCAACATCGCTAACGACGTCGTCAATCACATCGACAGCGTGCTCAACACCTTCCTTGATGTCTGCAGCTACCTCGACGACACCTTCGGCGATATCCTCCGCAACCTCGAACACTTTAGCTTTAATTTCGTTAAGGAAATCGCTGGCAACATTCTTGATTATCTCCCATAGATCACGAAAGATAGCCTTGATAAACTCGGCCAGATTGAAGTTGGGTTGCCAGTTAATATGCAAGTTAATATCCTGATCGAGCAGTTTCCCTTGCACATTAACAATTAGGGGAGGGCCGTTCGCAACCAGGCTCGAGATCGATCCCGAGAATTCGATCTTGGTAATATTGATGAGGTCTGCTGCGGCGCTAGCAATCCACCTGCCAATATTTAACCCAACGCTCATGATATCGTCAGCAAAGCTAGATGAGTCTTGCTCAGCAAGCTCACAGGCTTGCCGGGCAAGCTCAATGTCAACCGTGTTGTTCAAGGCTGCTTGCAAGGCCTTCTCGGCCGAGATCACGGCAAGATGTTCTGCACAATTGAACCTGTCGTCGAAAGCCTTCCCGGCACCAGACACCATGAGTTCCATTATTTCTTGACTATCCGCGAGTGCGGCTTTGGCTTGGGTTGCAGCGCCCCGCTCGCAAGACCGCTTTTCGACATCTTCTAAGGCTTGCGCTGCGCACTGCACCATTTTGTCCTGTTGCGATTTGAGCTCTTCAAAATTGGTCCTGGCGATTGTCATCGCAGCGTCTTCGATCTTTACGAGGCTTTCCAAAGAAGCTTCGTCTGTAGCGATTGCGGTTTCCGCAGCGATGAAATCTGATCGCTGAAGGATCAGTTCCGCCGCATGGAAAGCAGCTCGGATAGCTTCTAACGCCGAGGTCGCGGCCAATTGCTTAGCAACACTAGCCGCTTTCTCTGCTAGCAGAGGCGGCATATCCAAGAGCGATGCGTTGAGCAGACGGTGGTCAATGTCTTCTAAACCTTCCTCAATCTTGTCAGCCACGGCGACAGCTTCTTCCAAGCTCCTCCGAGTCTGTTCAAGATCAGAGCGAGCGCTACCAAACTTCAACTTGAAGGCGTCACGCTTTTCAATAAGGCCACTCTGTGCTTGGCGGATCACCTCTTGACTTTGAAAGTGCGCCTTTTGAAGAGCTATCTCGGCTAGATGAGTAGTGGTGGCCGAGTCATGACGAGCTTGATCTAGCCTCGCCATAGCAGCAACAATGGCGCTAGCATAAGACTTTTCTGCCGACGCGACCTTGTCTTCAAGTTGCCCCTTATAGCTCTGCGCATCGTATTTGGCACTATCCAGTGCAGAGATGATATCCCGTTCCTTAAGCTCCCAGTTCTGTCTAGCTGCATAGAGGTTACTACGAGCTGCTTCGACGGCTGAATTGAACTCATTTTCCTTATCCGAAAGGACCCTCTTAGCTTTGTTGAAATCTGTGTGATCGCGTATTGATTTGATCTGCTTGTCCAGCATATCAATGATTTTATCGAGGATATGTTGCTCCATTAGACCATAGATTGTGAAGTCGGCATTTGCGAGCGATGAGAGATCCTTAAAGTTAACTTCACCGGCCAGCTTAGCCTCTAGCTTGAACTTGAACCAGTCTGACAACGACACTTCTAAACCGAAGTCAAATCTTGGCTTAGGGTAGACCTCAGCCTCGAGATGAACGGCAGCCGACAGTGCCCAGACGTCGACAGCACCATCAATGAGGACTCGTTGGATAGATGAAGATAGCTCTATATCCACGATTGGGTACTCGCCCGTGGCTCCTTTAACTTTGAGAGGTCCTAAATCGAAGTGCTCGATGGTGGCCATGATCTTGACCATTTTGCCAATAGTGCAGTCGCACTTCGCTCTCTTACCAAAGATAGTTATGTCACCCTTGAGTGACGCACCTGGGGGATAATATGTCTCTCCAATTGACGCGCCGGTAGAGAGATATAGTTGAATATCGTTGAAGTGCAGGAGGTTATCTGGCTTTGGGAGCTGATACTCGCAAATCTGAGAAGCAAATTCAACAAGGTCTACAACTCCTAAATCCTTCACGGCTGCGACAAGGATTTGTTCCTTGGGGTTCTGACTGAGCTTCATGGCAAGCTTGGCCTCCTTTTGTCCAATCATAATCTGCCCGGCGAGACCAATAGTACCCGGTAAACCGGTCGTGAAGAAGGTAGCATAGACGATGCCGAAATCAAGGGCACAGCCCTTGACAGTTATTTGCCTGCCGACGTCGCAAGGATTTGTCCAGTCCGTCAACATCTGCGCGTACGCAGCTGCACCGGAGTAGCTTGCTTTAAGTCCCAGAGAGAATTGAAGGGGATCGGGCTGCGTCTCTAAGTTTAAGTTGAGGAGGGCCTTGAGGATCATTTGGAACTCGAGATCGGACTTCACAATCTCGATCATGAGTGGTCCAGTGTATACATGCTTTCCAAATGTCATGGTCCTGTCTGCAGGGAAGATAATGCTCAGCGCAAATTGTCCGTCGACCAGGGCAGCGCGGAAAACCGTGCCCTTGACGCTACCGCGCATAAGCTCCTCAAGCTGAGGAAACCTATCAATACTAGCGCAAAACTGGATGCCTTTGTCGACCGGATAGTTGATTCCCTTGTAGGATCCCAGTGGAGCCTCGTGGTTAGACGCAATCAAAGCCAGATGCTTCAATGAGATGTCCAGAAAGGTCCCCTTTAGGTCCGGGACTATCTTGCTCGTCGTGACGTCGCCTTCAACCTCGCCGTAGATGGTCCAGCGGAAATCACCCTCTGGAGTCTTTTCTGTGTGTAGCGTGGCCTTAAGCTCTACGCTGTGCATATTAACCTGACCATAGATGTCGACTTTGGATGCTCGTGCACACTGAGTGTCGAGCTTGCTGGAAATGAAGACATCCAAGCATGCGGACTTGATCAAAACATGCTCAAATTCGATGTCGCCAATGCTGCCTTGCAGGACGATACCGTCTCGCGAGAATTCCAAGCAGCCATTTGTCGATGTGTGGCCGTTGATGGTCACCTCGCCACGGAGCGCAAATCCTTTGGATGAGATGCATAGAAGCATGGATTGTAAAGTAACGTCATGGGAAAACTTGTCCATCTCTATTCCGATCAGTTCGTGGAAGATCTCGCCAACATCGTGCAATGTCAAATCGCCGATGTACGCCTCGAGAGAATAGTAATCTGTGTTGTAAAACGTCCGTTAGATAGGCTGTTCAGTAATGCTTGTTGGGGAGTGCTTTACCTTTTGAATAGTAACCGCGCACGCCAACCTTGGTATTCCTTAGATCTAGGTTCGCCGCAATTCTCACGGAAAATGCCGTTTCCTTGGAGAAAGTTTGGATCTCAGCTTCCAGAGAAACCTCAGACAACTGGGAGAACAATTTACAGTCAGAAATCGATTAGGTTCTACTATGATAGCGAGAATTATTTGCAACCTACATTGAGATCTTTAATGCCGAAGATATCTCTCCACTCATTGTCCTTGAGGCGAAGCTGTAGAAGCCAAGAGTGTAGGGATTTTCGGAGGTAGTATTCGACCTGTAGGGGAATAACGCTGCCAGGAACACGAAGATCAACCTCGCCAAAAAAGCCGTATTCGAATTGCCAGGTGCTGATTCCTCCCATGGAAAGGCGGTATGTTTGGTACCCGCTTAACTCGACGCCAATTTCTCGAAATGTCAGGATATCGAGCACGTTGACTGACACATGCTCTAAAGAGCCACGCAGTACGAAGGAAGGGGGGCTTAGTGGGATCGCATAATCTCGACTTCCACCCAGCCAGGTGCTGAAGCGGATGGCTGGTTTCTCCTGATGGAAGAAGTCCTGAAGGAAGTCTGAGACGGGTTGCATGGCTCCCCGAAACGCCACGTCGGTCTCGAAGTAAAGTCCCCTAGTCCGTCTGCGGAGGCCATCCAGTGTCACCTCCTCTTGGAAACCAAGGATCGGATTCTCGAGTGAGATCATATCCCACTCACTTCCTTTGAGGGAGGGTATGAAAGTCCCCAGCGATATGGCTTCACCTGCTGCGATCTTGACCTCCTCGTTGTATGGGTGCAGCAAGCTGCCGGCGTGCTCGTACACATAAATCTTGGATGGGATGAGGCCAAAGAGCTTCAGATCACCCACATAGGCTGAGTTGGAAAGGCTTTCTAGGGAAACTGGAGCTCCAGTGACTGTGGAGTTCAAAGTCGTAGATTTGAGAAGGAAAGGATCTGCTTCCTTTGGCAAAGGCGAAGGATCTGGGGTGGGTAGTCCATACTGCGACAAGCCATCAGGAGTCAGGCTAGAAGCTTTGTTTGGTGAGAAGTGCAAGGCAACCTCCTCGCCACTTGCATCTAGGGCAACCGGCCGAATATTCGTCACCCAAGCTCCGCCAATATCAAACCCAGGTGACGAGCGATCCTGTCCGATGCTGTGCAGAAGTTGTTGGCCCACTTCGCCGATGAGTGAAGTTACGGATCCTTTCACAGAGCCTTTTAGCTCTTGCACATGTTCACTAAGAGTTTCTGGTTTCGAGATCTTCAACGGTGGGCTATCATTAGTGTCATCGTTGGAGAAGGAGCGCTTGCGTTTCAAGATACTGTCAATATCCATGGCTGCAGCTTTGTGGGACTCGTGTGAGTCTCTTTGCGGCACACGGGGCAACATGAAGGGGACTGTTGGAGTGTGGGGGAAAAGGACTGATAACAGCAGCTCCCGGCCATCGAGTCCGGGCACACGATACGCGAAATGGCCAATAAACGTTGGACTCCATGCCTACAGCTTCCGTGTGACAGGCTTCAGGCTCAGCTTGCGAGACAATTGCCAAAAGAAGACTACTTCACCCGAAGGGAACGCAACAATGTTGTCAACGAAATAGATCTAGACTACAATATCGAAAGGTTTCGATTCCTGGTACTGTAATTATCACATTCCAGACTTTCGTTTTGCTTTTTCTTGTGTGGGAGGGGGCTTAGGTTCTCTCTGCCAGAACAAGCTCTCAACCACAAAGAACAAGCTGCATGTGATACGTCGAGAGCCGCAATAGGAATAACATTAGGCTTGTATCTTGGTACCGTAGGACCTCATAAGGTTCGGAACGACCCATAGATCCAACGCGCTATCTTTCTTTTGACCAGAGGCGTAAATTAGCGTGATACCAGATCTTTTCTTTTTCTGTTATACCAATTAGAGGTGCAGAATAAGGAGAAAGTGTCCACAGGGCGTTCTGAACCTCATAAGTTCCCACGGTAGTCAAACTCCGCTTGCGCTGCAGCACATTAGAATTCGAGGAGCCTGGATCCGTTATTACGATTGGCACCCTAAACTCTATGGCGAGTTGGAGGTAATCATTGACCTGAAAACGGATGCTGTCAATCACATAGAGGTCCTCTTTTTTTCATAGGAAAGTATTGTGGCGTCTGCGGTTGCGCAGCTTGGGCGAAATGCAGCCATGAGGCTTTGCTAACGGATCGGGTCGTGCCGAGATAATGTCACGACTTAATTGATTGATTCAGGCCAGCCCCCTGTGAAAGCACAGCGAATATTCTCACGACATTAGGGTAGAGAAGTCTCTCTATTGCAATGACCTTATACCCAATTTAATGTCTTGTAGCAGCTCGTCACAGCCTTGGTTCAGGTATTCCAAACAGTTTCCGTTAACCAGATCAGTACTACTCAGCTTTCTACGGAGTAGTCTGGACCAAGTGTTCAGGCAGCCACATGTATACTTTAGCAACACATGATAACCATCTATATCTAGTTTCAGCTACGCCAACAAAAGCCACGAGCATGACTCGAACTTTAATTCGCGACGTTTCGAATTGAGCTGTCTTGTCTAGTCCAGGATGGACCATGTTTTCAGCCAGCCACATGCATAAAAGCACCAAATGCTGCCCCCACCCCCCATTCACACTTAGCCACGCCGCAAGCAAACATGCAGTACAAGAGCAGCGCCGCCACTTGGCTGCATGCCGATCTTCCAGGGCCCGCGATACCACCGTGAGTACACGAGGGCTGACTGAATCATGACAAAAAGAGACGTCACTGTTCTCCCACGTATGTATTGAAGAGGCAGTCCAGCTCCTGTTGGGAACGCTCTGCTTATCTCGACCTGGCACAACTCCCAATCTGTAGCCCGTGGTCTTAACGCAAGCTTTGTTGCCAGAATACTTATATCTTACAGAACTTTGCTCAACATGGTGACGACGCGGAAGAAAGGAAAAGCAGCCGAATCATGGAATCGGCACATGAGAGGAAAAGAAAGCCTTTGGTACTGGGGGAATGATACGCACCGCTGTATCGCTTTTGAAGCAAAGGACTATTTTGCCCCAAGTTCTTTCCTTCAAGGAAAGACTGTCTTCGTGTCTGTCGCCGTCGTTCTAAGCTTGGGCTCCATGAACGACGACAACGAGATAGACGAGGAGGAAGGAACTGGCAGCATGGAAGAGGAGGTTGCGGGTAGCAATGAGACTAAGTCAGATGCACATTATGAACCAACAAAGAGCCTTGGCTAACTAGCGTTCATAGAGTCTCCGAGTGGTCGGACGAGGCGCTCATTAGCGAAACTCCCACGAACTGGGAAATGAGTAAGGAGAGCAAAGAAAAAGCGGTCACAATTGATGCTTGGCTGGAAGATCACAGCTTCCACAAATTGACCATTAGAGTAACCCAATACCCGTCAAACCCTGACTCCTGGACAGCATATGTTCGTAGAGTCTTGGGCATCGGAAGCGGAAGGTCTTTCAAACCGACACGTCAATGTTATATGCCCCTAAAGAAGCCCCTGCTTGTGGAGCCTTTAACCAAACACACAAACTTGATAACTGGCCGATTCGGCCAGACTGTCAATGAGTTTTTGAATGACTTAATCAAGGAGGCAAATACAGCCAATACCAACAGCGAAAATGCCCCCAAAAAAGAAAAGCGTAACCTCGACGACGGACATTGGGAGCTGCGACTTTTTGACCACTCACTCAAAGATGGATATAAAATGGTAAGATTGACGATCCATTTGTTGCCTTCCAATTATCTCACCTTATTATTCCACAGATGTCAATAGATCCATTCGAACTTTACTCAACTTGGATTCACGAGGATGACTGGCACTCATACATGACAATGCTGGCAGAAACACAAACGAATCCCATCCGCAAATTTATATCCCTTAAAGATACAGAGCCCTACAGAGCCTTGGATTCGCTGATGTTTAAGGTGGGCGCGCGTGACCTCATGATACAGGGCGAATTGAGTGCCGAAGAACGAGCCAAGCACGGGCTCAGACAGGATCAGTCGGATGATGACGCCAAAGACATGGTCGCCCTGAGCTTGATCATCCGACTGAAGGTAAGCGAAGTTCTTAAGAAAAGGCGACTCCTGGGTCTAGATTCTCAGGTCAAGAGATACAAATTCTCCAATGGGACAACCATGATCCAAGTCGATCTAGACGCTGCCACGATGGATGCGTCAACTGGTAAGCGTAAGTCTCAATACACTCAGGCTGCAGTTATGGGAGGCTTTTCAGCAAGCAAGGTAAGAATAACAACCACAAACCAAACGTCTCAGTAGCTGACCATTGTGATAGATAGCTACGGGCTTGGGATGGGAACAGAAACGCCTGGAATCTGGCTTTTTCTCTAGTGAGGTCCGTAAGAATTTGACTCTACATCGCTGGCCAAACTGCTATACTGCTGTTAACACCAAACGCACCACAGTGGCTACATTTATCAGCATTTTCCTGGGGCGGGTTTTTGCCGTCAGGCGAAAAAGACGGGTTCTCAACAAGCCAGAACTTGGAGAACCTGATATTTGGTACATCCGAGACCAATTCCCTAATGACGAGGTACATCAAGAACATCATATCAACCTATACACCTTGTGCTAAATTCTTTCGCTTACGCTTTTGCCGCTTACAGATATGAGATGGCGTGGCAAGGTTTCTACCGCTACGAGCAGAAAGCTCAGGATATGATTGACCAGGAGAAAAGAGGGAAACCGACCCACCTACGAGGAACACTGGACATTGTCTGCAATGACTTCACAGAGCCCATCCACTGCGATTACTATGACCAAGACGGAAAGTACAAGTTCGGCGCATTCGAAATCCCAAACGATGTAGTCAAGAAGGCCGAAGAGGCAGCCAAGAAGGCAGCCGGAAGGATTGTCAGCGGCCAGTCTCATCCACAATTGGTGTGCCAGGCACACGATCCGAGCAATGACCGGACGGAGAAACGTTGTCAAGATCCTAGAACACTTGGAAACATCGCAACTGACGCCGAGATGCTGGCGCTTGCGCATGACTTTCCTATGGTGGTGTATTCTTTGACTTACACAATCCATTCAGATTTCATGTCGAGAATCTTGGGCTCAAGGCCAACAGTAAGCTTCCAGTTCTCTCCCTTTCGGAGGTCTCTATACCACCAGGCGGAGGCGGTTCTCGACGCTCTTGTGTGGGAAAGGCTCAAAGAGAAAGCGGACGAGTTGCTGAAAGTGGAGATTGAGGAGATAGGTAAAGAGAAGCAAGGTGGCATGTCTGAAGAGGGTGTAGACATGACGTTTGATAAGAAAGCAGACGACGTGCTTGGCCAGATATCAGTTGGCATGTCTGAAGAGGACGTATACATGGTGGTTGACAAGAAAGCAGACGACATACTTGAAGAGAAGTCAGATGAGATTGGCAACGATGATATAGAGGCTCTTGTAAGTCAAGTGTCCACAAAACCGCTATAGTCTCTCAGGTTCTAATGGTCCCACGGGTCGCACGGAGAAAGCAGCTGCTTGAAGAGCAAAGAAGCAGGAGCAAGCAGGAGCGTATCCAGTCGGACGGCCAATCCCAGATAATGAAAAAGAATGGCGATCAAGGTCAGACATATATCTCATCCAAAAAGGAGAAGAAGGAACATGCTTTTACTACGATTAATAACAGTGTTAATTTTTTTTAAATAAGTATACTTATAAAAGTATTATTTAATCTTAATTACTCTCTTAAGGTATCTAGAAATAATTATATATTAAGGAGTTTTATTCTGTTCTATTTTATCTTTCAAGATTAGAAATAGGCCTATATTTATGCCTTTAGATCCTTATCCATCTTATACTGACTGTGTCTTCAGCTGCTGGAACTATTTATAGGTAAGAACTGACCAAAACAGGTTTCAGGGGTTAATAAGCTTATCTTGGCATTGTATTGGATGACATGAACCCTGCTATAAACAATGGGACGACATGTTTTTCGACGGCATTGGGTCATTTAAAAGGTCAAGGTAAGAATCCTTAGAATGTAGGGATTTTAGCGGTCTGGACAAACGCTCGTTTCCCTATGTATTGGCGTGATAATGTTGTAGAGACTGTGACAATCTAACGCAAGCGACTTTATTAGGGCGACCATGGCGAATTTCTCAAGTCGAACACTATTGAACAAACTACTAAACGAATCAACCAAGTATGCCAGAAGTCTAATTCGATCAAGGAAATCAATTTTCTTGGTTTTCAGGCAGCCGAACTGCCGGCTGCATTTTCACGGCTTACCCGGAACCTGGCTTGTGGCGATCCCAGCCAATCAGTGTGATCTATCAGGCTATTTGTTAGTGGGCTACCCGAAAACTAGCATTCGACTGGTCGCAAAGAAAGTAGCTTCTTAATCTTTACGTCCCAACCAAATGGCCAATCACGCATCCCGTCTCCCATGGATCGACACCTAATCCGATGGAGTAGACTACAGCGACATTATGCTTCCTTCCACCCAACTCCCTGCCTCTTCTATACTCTGGCCACCAGCGAATCTGACAAGAATTCGAGCTGATGGTACAAAAGGCATTGCCTAACCACGGTACCTTCACGGCATTGAGATAAACGCCTCTTGCCAGAAAGTTAGCCAATTACGACTACGTTTCCCATTTCAGCGTTCAGCTTTCAACTTTCATTTAATTACCTTCCACATCTGGAAACATAAATGTCTCACTGCCTGGCCACTTAACCGTGTTAGGTTTGACGCTTCGGTGGTTGTCCTTTGTCCCACTTCTTTATGCAGCACGAAGTGAAATGGTACCCCAGAAGCTAGAATGGCAACAGTCAAACTGCATATAAACATTTTATTGCATTTGGTCCTAATACTTAATTTGCGCATTTCTTCATTTACTAAATTTTCTGAGTCTTTGTGCTGTTATCAAAACCCTAATAGTCATGCTTCTATAACAGATCAGAGTCGGATCATTTTGTTTGCAGCTCGGTCTTAAACTTTAATAACTAAGCTTAGCTCGGAGATCGGCGGCACATGATTTGGGGACAAGGGTCCTGTTTTGATTACTAGCCCCTGTCGATTGGTTAGCTTATAAACATGTTTGCCATGGCATCACTCCTCGTTTTGCAAATGCCTTCCTTATCTTAGTCTCTCTTGACCTCCGAAGGGCCCGTCATCAATTACCACTTTGTCCTCAACATGCTCTCTATACCAGTATTCGTTCTAATAGTGTTAATACTCGCGAATCACGCATATTGCAAGACTAAATTCCTTCGACCTCCACAATACAACGAGACTACCAGCGACCACGATTATGGAAATAATCCACGGTTTGCTGTCGGTTATCCGATCAAGCTCCTTTGGGAAACAGATGCTGAGCCAGTCGAGCTTTCCTTGTTGCAATTCAGTGAGCGTGGTGGCGGGATGAAGTCACTGGATGGTAAGATATTCCTAGCACTTCGTAGTAATTTCTGGCAAGCTCACCTAACGACTTAGCTTCTCTCACCGAGTGGAAAGCTGAGCGAGATGTCTTTGAGGTCACCGATGGCAATGATGACTCGGTGTACTGTTTTTACTTACGCGATTCGAAACAAGATGTGGTTACGTCACAATATTTTAATGTAACTGCCTTGAAAGCCGACGGTACCAACACCGCTTTCAAGCGAGAGACTGCCATTTTAACATCAACTACGCTCTCTCTACAAACGGAAGTCTCCATAACAGAGCCAATTTCGACCTCTACGTCTACAGATCAGCCTGTGCGCTCAGAAAACTCTTCAGAATCGGGGATGTCCAAGGGTGAGATTGCAGGCGCAGCTTGTGGTGGAATAATTGGCGGTCTCTTGCTTTTTGGTCTTATCGGATGGTTGGGTTGGAGACGGCTAGCAAGGAACAAAAAGCATGCGGATATCCCGCTGGTCTCCCAAAACTACGGCTTTCAGCCGAAACCTGAGCTGCCTGCAGACGCCGAGGTGCAGGATATGTCACCGATGTCACAAAATCAACCATCAGAGCTCGATGGCTGTGAGCTGAAATCTGAGCTGGCTGGAGACACCCAGGTTCAGAAAAATCCTTTAGGTTATGCTAGAAGTCCTGGGGGTTTAAACGAAGCACCTTAACTGGAGATACTATAGAAGGTAGCTCTTTGCTCTATTCACAGCCCTTATAGTAAATCTTAAAGGCTATAGCTATTTATAATTTAAAAAAGAAAAAAGAAATTTAAATTATAATATTTATAAGTAAAAGTTTATAAATTAAAGACTTTTTAAAGTATTAAAATCTTAAAAAGTATTAAAAAAAAGAACTTATAAAAAACTTATAAAAAAACTTATAGT